TATAAGATAGGCATGCTGCGTACATCATAATCACAACCCTTATCGGGGTATGACCAACCCCCGATACGCCGTTGGTCTCGGGTCGCTAGCTGCTTTAGCTCACGAGATACGAAATATCTGGTGTCTTGGGGTCGGGGGTTGGTCATACCCCGATAAGGGTTATGATTATGATGGTCGCAGCATGCCTATCTAATAGCAACAAAATACGCCGTTGGGTTCGGGTCGCTAGCTGCTTTAGCTCACGAGATACGAATTATCTGGTGTCTTGAGGTCGGGGGTTGGTCATACCCCGATAAGGGTTGTGATTATGATGTACGCAGCATGCCTACCTTATAGCAACAAAATACGGCGTTTGTCTCGTGCCGCTAGCTGCTTTAGTTCACAAGATACGAAAAATCTGAAATATCTAAGAATAAGGGTAGTTAGCCCCCCATGAAGGGGGGGAATTTTTCCATATCTAACCAGCTTATCTTACAGCAACAAAATAGCAACAAAATACGCCGTTTGTCTCGTGCCGCTAGCTGCTTTAGTTCACAAGATACGAAAAATCTGAAATATCTAAGAATAAGGGTAGTTAGCCCCCCATGAAGGGGGGGAATTTTTTCATATCTAACCAGCTTATCTTACAGCAACAAAATACGCCTTTTGTCTCGTGCCGCTAGCTGCTTTAGTTCACAAGATACGAAAAATCTGAAATATCTAAGAATAAGGGTAGTTAGCCCCCCATGAAGGGGGGTAATTTTTCCATATCTAACCAGCTTATCTTACAGCAATAAAATAGCAACAAAATATGCCGTTCATCTGGTCTCTCTAACTGCTTTTGCCTCCGAGTTATCGCTGTGGTTTCGCTAGCGTAATATTTCGCTAGCGTAACAGGCGTTTTTCGGAGAAATCATGGAGCAACAAAATCAATTCTTGCGGCACAAAATAGCAACAAATTAGCAACAAAATACTATATACCTTAGGATATGGACTTATGAAATTGTTACGCTAGGGTAATATACCTTATCGCGACGTCTGTAGGCGTGCCTCACGCATAGGTAAAATACTACTTAAGCTTGGCGTAAGCGCTTGCCCTTGTATGCGGACTCTAGTGGGGGTGCTCCGTGAGGGCACATCACAAATGTTATTAAAGTTGGTTTCAGAAAGTGTAAACTCATTACGTGCATAAAGTCTATAGAATGTTCCTTCCTTGTTTCCTAACTGGTAGAGACCTGATGGATTAATGCTCATAATAACACACATAACATTCCTGGGTGCTGCACGTCCTCTATCCACTTACAACCTGTCCGTCGTGATAATTGAACTATATTAGTAGTAATACTTCAGTGGTCGTGATATGGTTAAAACAATGAATGCTCAGAACGCGTCATGGCTTTTCTTCATTGCCACAACGCGTTGAGATCGAATAGCATGTGCAATATGAGATGTTGACACGACACGAATTTCGCTATTTGGTCTTTCTGTGATTGCCATAACGCGTTGTGCGCGTTTTCATTGGAGCCATAACACAAATTTCGCCATGTGGATATTTTATTGTGACCACAACGCGTTGTGAGCTATTTTTCCGCTCACTGAGCGTTTTCGATCTTTGAGCGTAACATATATATCTAGAGCTTAGAAGCATTAGGGCGAATGTCGATTTTGCCAACTTTACAGGACAGAATAAAATAAAAATTCAATTTTATCGGCAAATATTTCAATAAGCACAAACAATACGTAAATGTTTTCTTTGCATCTACTTAGCTAATTATGTAGCTTAACTAGCTTTATAATTAAAATTTAAAAACAATGTTTCTAAACAGTGAAAAATTAACTTTTTTTAAAAAAATGATGACATCCGCCTTTATGCCACTAAAAATAATCAATGTATTTGTTCAACTGATTAGTATGTGCCCATACGGCTTTATGCCTCCAATTTTTGTAATTTAATGTGAGGTGTTTGTCCAAATGCGACTTTATTGTGTTCATTTATTAACTGTGGTTCTTTTGGCAAAAAGTCGGACATCTCTTTAACAAAAAAACTATTCCATAATAAATAAACGATAATTATTAATTTATTAATAATGAAAAATGAGAGAAAACTAAAATATTTATCCAACTTTTATAAATCTTCTTGAAATATTCTTAAACCTTTTTTAAGAGAATAGTGTAGTATATCATTAGAAAAGTAACAAAACGGAGTATCCAAAAACCATTAAAGAACAATGCCAAGTGTCCATAGTAACTTTGGCTTAATATAAAATGTTCACGGACAGCAATGAAAATAGTTTTATTGTGTGTTGTTAATAACTAAACATTTCCAGAACATTAAAAATTCTAAAGAACTTTGCGCAAAAAAATACTTCGATAATACAAATATGGAATTTTGAGGTTATTTCAATTTGACTATCACCCTGGTGGAGTGGCTTCCACACCGATTCTCATGGTGTCGCCATATCTGGATTCTCAGGTTCGCTACTCTGTCTCATTTATCCAGAAAAATAACTGTTTAACATTGTCTCGGGTCTGTGTTTGAGGTTTACTAGTTGGTAGACTTAAGCTATTTTATATGCGCATTGTGGTAGACCCAAAGTACGGTCGTCTGGGTTGGTAATTACAATTAATAATACATTTTGATGATTATTGGAATCATTTTAATGAATGCAATAAACTACTGATTCAAATTCACTATTGCTGTATTCTTTTAAGTTATCACATCAGTTATCAATGCCAGTGGGTCGTCTCGGAACCCCTTGTCTCTTTCTTTTTATTGCAAAGACAAATGTAATTTTAAACATTCGATTTCTTATGTTTCTTGTTGTATGTAAAAGACATGTTTTCGTGCCATTTTATAATTAAAAGTTTTGTAAGCCTGGCATTGTTCTTTAACTTTTTATTTAATTAAAATTATACAAACAACATTAAAATGAAAATATAATAAAAATACTTAATTAAGTCGTTATTAACAACAGATAATTTAGAAAGAAAAATGTACAAAAAGTATCTTAATATTAACTTAAGATCTAGTGTTACCCCTAGATAGATCTTAAGTTGGTTATCTAGGGTCACGAGCAAACTGTAAGCGGGATCGCCGATGCGCTGCTGTCGATTTCGGACCCGTAGCAGCTCTGCGGGCCGCTATCTTTTTTTCCTTCAGACGCTCACGGTGCGTCTACGAACTGCCTGAAGCTGCTTTTGCAACTCAACAGCGTTAGAGAGACGATTTCTCAGAGTTCGACAGAGACGACCTGTTCAACGGTCGTCTCTTTCTGAAGTGCAGTGACGTCTACTGGACCCATGTCTCCGGATATAGCCACCAGTCGCTATGAAGCGCTGGTATACTCTTCGAACGGAAAAACGGCTCAGGTTCAGTTGCCGGGCAACATCACACTGCCGCATCCCTGATTGACATAGTGCAACCACTTGAGCGGCTCATCAGCTGTGGTATCCATCTTCGAGGTGATTTTTCTTCAGTAAAATCTGTGCGTGTGTCCTCTTCAACGGTTGAATAGCGAATGACCCTCATTGACTCCGCGTGGACCGTTTTATACCTACCCACATAAGGAAGCGCAACAAGGGACTCTCACGGTAGCAAAATTTGCATCGAATTTTTGTGACACTTTATTTGTTGCACTAGGTTTTATTTGATAATGAAAAGTAATGTTTTTTATTAAGTCAATTAAGTAACCTTTTAAATAAAATCATTATTAATATGCATGTTATGACTACATGTGCATATTAAGAGTTAATGACATTTGAAAGTGATTTTCTAATAGGTGCAATTTTTTTGACGCCGAGTGTATATTAATTAGTCACTTGCTGGAAAGTCGGGAATATTTCCGTTATGAGTCGGATTTCTATAGTAGACATGAAACTCCATAAGAACCCATTTCAAAAGAGTCATCAGATCATTGTACTTTGCAGTAGATATAGGTTTCTCAGTGTCTCTCACTTCACAAAACACCAACAGACCGAAGGTAAAACAAAAACACCGAAATGTAAACAAACAAGGAGAAAAGTGACAGACGGCCAGACATACTATCGCGCTACAACAAATCACAAGGTATCTCATTACACTTAAACTGATTCAGTGTTAGCCATTGGACACGCCGTGGCCGATAATGCCCAATGTCGCTAATTTTTTGGCGCCATATTTTGAATAGTTCACATCCATAACGATTTATTTTTACATTGGCCCACCAATGCATTTACAAAGTTACTAAAACAAAAGGCATAAAGTCGTATATCTACAACCGTTTTAAAGTTATTAAAGGAATCTTAGATGCATAATATCGGAAGTTTAGTTACGATGAATATTTTAAATCACTGTTTGAACCATAAAGGCGTGACTCCTATTACGTAGCCTTGGTGCGAATATTTTTTTTAAACATAAAGGCCAAACTTTCAATCCACCAAAAGAATAATACAGCAATGTAGACGCAGAGAGAAGAAAGTGAAAATAAAACCTTTAGGTTCTAATGACTTTAGAAAATCTGTAAGAACCGACATTATGCACGGAATTATCTCAGCCCAGAAAAGTGATAGAAATACAGCTCCTAGTGCTATGGAAAGAGAAAGAAGCGCTTTTCTTTGTTATTCAATAAAAAAAAATTGCCCGATATGCACATCCGCCCATATGCATCTTAGCTCCAGATATACAGGGTGTCCCGTAAGTAATGGTCCAACCGTAAACCCTAGGTAGTTCACTTGTTTGCCTACAACTAATTTGAACCGTTTTTTGAAATTCATTAGGGTTGCTAAAAAAAATTATAAAATGTTTTTTTTTTCAATATTTCTCTCTTGAATTGGTTTTTTTAATGGCATTGACGAAAATATTAAAAATTTTCAAACTTTTTTTCGCTAAAATGTAGCTAGATAGATTGACTATCAACTCGTTTATCACATTTGCATAATGACATTGTATTTCTCTCAAAAATATTGAAGTAACTTAACATTTTATTGTATTTTATTTGGATGACCTAAATTGAAAAGCTCCTAATGTAAAAAAAAAGTATGACACCAAAGTGTTCCATTATTTTAAAAACATGTGCATTAAGTAAGGTTTCAAAATTGGTATAAAACTTATGGTTAACTAGTAAAGTTGCAAACATAATACAATGAATCCGAAGAAGAGGCAAATATCTTAAAAAAATATAATTAAATTTAATTAGTGTCTAGTTGTGCATTTTTTCATTATTAGGAATGTTTTAACGACACTACGCGCACAGTACACAAGAGTAGTACTTTGAACATACTAGCCCTCGAATCGACGCGCGCACACAGACAAATAATGTCATTTACACGGCCGCTAACCAATCTTGGCAAGACAAATCTACGCAGTGCCACGTCGCGCGCCGCCGAGACTGGTGTGAATTTGGACTTTACGAATTACCTATCGAATTTGGACTGTTTGTTTTTTATAGAGTTAACGACTTGGCTAGTCTATTGGACTCCGAAAATCTGTTTGTTTGGGGTTGTTGAATCTCTGAACTTTGCAATGCCTCGCAACGTGTACACACCTCGTGAATATGCTATGATGCATTACACCTATGGAGAAGCAAGAGGTAATGCCAGAGAAGCTGCAAGATTGTACCGAGAAAGGTACCCGAATTTGCGTCACCCTGACCACCGAATTTTTGCTTAGTGTGCATAACTCGCTACTTGATGGAAGGATTCTTGGTACCGGAGTTGGTGTTGGTGAAGGAAGACCACAGCAAGTCAATGATGAAATAATTTTGCAACAAGTACAAGAAGATGCATCAACGTCAGTTCGAACTATAGCACGACGTTCTGGAATACCTACAGCATCGGTACACAGGGTTTTAAAAAGATACCGTTTGCACCCGCACCATCTACAACGTGTACAAGAAGGAGCAGAATGTGCATAGCTGTAGGCGGAAGGCAATTTGAGCATTTATTATAAAATTATAACGGTTTTTTGCTTTTATTTCTAAAGACCATATTTTACCCGTCGTTTACACAAATTAGTGCCATAAAAGCTAATATCAGTGTAATCATCATGTTGATTAACGTAAAGACATTCCTAATAATGTGTAATAACACAACTAAATACTAATTTAATTAATTTAGTTTTTTTTAGATATTCGCCTCTTCTTCGGATTCATTGTATTATGTTTGCAACTTTACTAGTTAACCATAAGTTTTATACCAATTTTGAAACCTTACTTAATGCACATGTTTTTAAAATAATGGAACACTTTGGTGTCATACTTTTTTTACATTAGGAGCTTTTCAATTTAGGTCATCCAAATAAAATGCAAAAAAATGTGAAGTTACTTCAATATTTTTGAGAGAAATACAATGTCATTATGCAAATGTGATAAACGAGTTGATAGGCAATCTATCTAGCTACATATAAGCGAAAAAAAGTTTGAACATTTTTAATATTTGCATCAATGCTATTAAAAAAATCAATTCAAGACAGAAATATTGAAAAAAAAACCTTTTATCATTTTTTTTGGCAACCCTAATGAATTTCAAAAAACGGTTCAAATTAGTTGTAGGCAATTGAGTGAACTACCTAGGGTTTACGGTTGGACCATTACTTACGGGACACCCTGTATATATCTGGGCCAAATAGTCCAGTTGGGTAAGTAAAATTTCGAGATTGAGGTAAAGCACCGAATCCATCTCGGCTAGGCATCGTTTGGGAAACTACGCGATGTCTTCTCCTCCGAAATACCTCAGTGCATGAAGACCAAGGTCATCGAACACTGCATGTTGCCAGTGATGACATACGGAGCTGAGACGTGGTCGTTGACTTTGGGCCTCATAAGATGGCTCCGAGTCGCACAGCGAGCGATGGAGAGAGCTATGCTCGGTGTTTCTCTACGTAATCGAATCAGAAATGAGGAAATCCGTAGAAGAACTAGAACAACCGACATCAAGGATCGCCAAGCTGAAGTGGCAATGGGCGGGGCACATAGCTCGGCAAACCGATTAACGTTTGAGTCCCAGGGTGCTTCAATGGTGACCTCACTCCGGGAAGTGCAGTGTCAGTAGGCCGCTCACAAGGTGGAATGACGAAATCAAGCGAGTCGGGGAAGACCATACGGAAATCCCTTGAGGAGGCCTAAGTCCAGCAGTGGACGTCTATCGGCTGATGATGAGATATTGAAGTTGCCAATGAATTTGTAATTTATTTTACTGACATTCCAGTTTCAACTACCAAACCTTTCAGCTCCTCCCATTGAAGCCGAGTCTATTTTAAAAGAAAGTATGAAAGATTGTAATACTCAGTTTTAATTTCAATATATTGATTCTTATGATATTATAAAGTCTTTTGACCAATTAAATAAAAAGAAAACCTCTGATCTGTGGGATAATTCCGTTGATGTCTCTAAATCAGTAATTAAAACAATAGCTCCAATCTTAGCTGACATATTTAACCAGTGTTATGACTGTTGTGTTTTTCCTGATCTCATGAAACACAGCAAAATAACTCCAAGAACCGTGTAATACAGACTAGCGCTCCCACTCCAGCCCGCTGGCTCCCGGAGGAGGGGGAGCGTAGTTTTCCCTGTCCCTCTCCCCCCGCCGTTGGTGCGGAGGCAGGTGCCCCCTCTCCCGGTCACCTATGTCTCCCGTTCCCTTCTCCTAGGAGATAGGAGCGTGACACAGGCAACAGAAGACGGTGGAGCGTTTAGTTTTTAAGCATTTAACTGTTGGATGTCAAAATCTAAAGAAAATTTTACTAGAAAAATTTCAACGCGGACCAGACAGCAGACGGCGCTCCCGTGCAGCCTACGAAACACATGAAAGAATTCGACATGGCCATTAGGGCCGCGGTAGCATAATGGTCAGTGCATCCGCCCGGATAGTTCCGAGTCCCGTCTGCTGCCTGGACCGCGTTGAATTTATCCTACTAAAATTTTCTTTAGACTGCGCGACCTGATTGCCAGGGGCTTTGCCCCTAATGGCAAAAGGGTAGCACCACTCTGATACAGATTCTGGATTCCTAGTCGCTCTCCTAAGAGTGTGCCTAACTTATCGCATATACACCCAAATTCTAGAGTTATGTCATAGTAACCTTCATCCCACTACCAAGAGCGACTAAAGTGAAGCAATCTTACAGACCAATCGGGCTTTCTTCATTCCTAAAATCCGGTATGTGACAGTGAACTAAGAGACAATCAACTGACGAAGTTACCGTTTCATCCAAATTAACACGCTTACAGTCCTAGTAAATCAACAAGTGTCGTTATACAAAGGGCATTGAATGTGGTGGAGAGATGGTGATGACTATGGTAAAGTTAAAGGTTAACCCAGTGAGAACCAAACTTGTCTTGCTTATTCACCAATAATTAAAAGAAACCCCGGTAACTACCGCACACCAGAACTATTTGGCCAAACGCTGTATTTTTTCTAAAGAGGTAAAGTATTTATGGATAAACCTAGACGACGAGCTTAACTGAGGAACACACATTGGTAATAAAACCACTTGCAAAGTATGCCTCATTCTTTATCAACGCAGTAGGATTCCGGGCAAGAGATAGGCAGGGTTAATTCTCTCTTATAAAATGGCTGTATACGATAATAATAAGGCCCATCTACGGTATATATGGTACGCAGCGCTTGTATGGTGGACCAAGACAATGTAGGTAACGACCATAGACAAACTTATGTGTTTCCAAGGGAATGTCTGCCGAACAATAACGAACGGGCTGCATGAAAACCACTCCGGCAGCACTAGAGACAATCTTTAATCAATACCCTTACAATGTTACATAAAACAGAAAGCGGCATATGTGCGTCTATAAGACTCCTCGTACTGGGTCTGTGGAGATGCAACAACGCGCTATTGAGGAAGAATAACCCTTTCTTCATGACGAAAAACGACCTGATTCCATAGCAGTACAGAATAAGGGGTAGACACTGTTGCTTTTGGGCCGGAACCTATCGTACCTATCCCATACCGACAGCTGCGAAGTTGGATAAGAGAACGATACCTACGTCAACATAACGAATACTTGGCTGGACTTACAGACTGCATGCTTGCTAAGGAAGTCGTACCCTGGCGATCCCGCCACACGTGCATCGAGGTCCGATCGGGGAAAGGGAGCGGGGTGAGCGACCGACTGCAGCAGAACTGCAGCAGACCCGTTCCATCACGCAGAGGTAAGCACTGCGCCGATGGGACGAGGCACTCGCCCACGTTAATACCGCACACCGGACGATAGAGGCCCTTCGTCCAGTGTTGAAGGAATGGGTAGAACATCGGCGCGGCGGCCTCACCTTCTGCATGATGCAGATCCTGGGGGTTCCGGCCTCTATCTGTACCGGGTTGCTCGTCGATTCGTTCGCAACTGCGGCGCTTCCAATGATACGGCCGAGCACACCTTGTTGGAGTACCCATCTGGCGACGATAGCATCCGCCGCTACATATATCCGCCGCGAATACTCACACCTACTTTATACAAAACAAATCTTTTGTAGGAATAGGAATAAACTTATAAAAGATTTAGGTATATTTTTCAATGCCGATTTAGGGCTCCATCCTTTTTATGAACAGGGCCAGATAATAATTAGAGGCCTCCACAATGAAGTGAGGGGCCCAAAAATATCAAAATACCCTAGATACAACACCCTGAAGAAATTGTAGCCATATTTTAAACATACTTATATCAGCAATAAAGCTTTTTAAATTTTGAATTTGAATTTTCTACTAACTAGTCTGTCCCAGGTAAAAATAATGGTCAACAACTGCAAGTGTAGTGTTCCCAATCTAAACTGAAGTGGAAACAACTTGAGCATTTGACATAATTTTAGTGTAAGCTATGTTCATCTTTGCACCCACTCTTTAGGAAACACTTCTAAGATTCACCTCTCATAGATACCACATCATTGGCAAACAAATTTCTCTGAGGTACTTGTTGTTAATGCAGTGCCCTTTACAATCCAGAAGCTGTCAATTAGCAATAATCTAGTTTTCTGCTGGAGAACCAATTTTTAAAATCGGTACAGTGTACTCTAATCTTTACTTCCTAAAAACTGCAATCTTTACCTCTTGAACTATTATATCAGAATAAAGAGTATTTTTTCTCTGGCCAGTTAAAATGCTCCCCCTGACTCCAAATTTCTTAAAACATGAATCATTTTGTTTTATTTATAAATTTTAGCCAATTATACTTCAAACTAAACATGTACCCTTTGCTACCTTAACTATCATTTGGTCAAGTTTTTGGCTATTTAATAGCTATTGTTATACCTGTTTGTAAAGGTAAAGAAACATAGAAGTTTTTTAAATTATTTGTTAAATTTTTTCACTGTAACCATTTTTGGGCAGTTTTTTTTTCCATTTGTTAGTAGCAAGTTCAGTTTTTTATTAATCAATTTGATTTATTGATGTGTCTTCAAACTCAATAAATCAAAAAACTGACCCTAGGAGCTCTAATCCCAAAAAAATCAATGAAAAGTCAAAATATTAAGGATTATTTAAAAAAAAACTTTGAATCTAAATATCTCCTTAACCCTAAAATTTCGGACACCATGTCATAGGACCAAACCCATCAGTATTGACCTCAATAATAACCTCCTTTAATATTCAGTATGACTTTCCCTGTAACCCTATATAAACAAAATTACAATTACACTGGTCTTTAATAATATGCTAAATTTTGAAGTTTATACTTAATAAAATAGACATAAGCTTAAATAGTTATTAACATAAACTGAATGTAGTTAGCTATAAATAGTCTTATTTAAATTTAACTTGTTATTATTGTTAAATCAAGTAAGAAAACAGAATACTTGCCACCACAGAAGTAGTTAAATACATAATAAAGAAATATTCCTAAGCCATTAAATACATAATAAATAAATATTCCTAAGCCATACATCCAAAGGTTTTTACAACCTTTCAAGAAGACTTATCAATGGTCTTAGACATATCGGTAAACTTTTTATAAGGAACTCCCGCATCACTTAAAAAAACTACACAAATCAATTTTAAATACTTATTATTTAAAATCTTACAAGCTTACTCAGGTGGGATGATTCATATATTAACTAAGTATTTGCTGGTGATAATAAATTACATTAATAAATACCTATGGGACTAAAAAATACCTAGGGGACTAGCAACAAAAAAAAAATAACCAACATCTACACCTATTCATGTGGAATTGCTCTTCAACAAATATAAAAAGTATTGTTTACTTTTTTATCTGCTCAAGCCTATTCCTCAAAATAAATAGCAAACATAGCTTACCATATAGCACAACTTGATTATCCTCTTCCAAATATTCGATGATGTTTCATATGCACCAATTTCATCACAGGGAGTTTTTTATTCACAGGAGCAAAAAAATGTAGTATCTTTCAAGGGTTTAGTGAACATACCAAGAGTCAAATGGATCTAAAAATACTCTTCATGATAAAACCGTATGATTGTGTTAAACTCATAGCATCGTAGTGACGACAATAAGCAAATGTGAATCCGGATTAACCACTACGCAATGTACAGAATGGTTGAGACAACTGATAATATTGCACAAAAGAAGACGATACGTAAAACTTAAGCGCTAGGGTATAGTGAAGCTTATCACTGCACAGTAAAAACTTTATAAGAAACTGTAAATAGCTGACGCAGCACGTATCACAAAATATCACTGAAATTTGTTGCTTCGGTATATTTTTCAACTAGACACTGCACTCTAGAAAGTCTTTACTCCAATAAATGGCTTTAAAATGTCAAAATGAGATTCAAGTATCTGTTGTCATTGTCACGCCTATTTTCAAAATAATGATAAAACCATGAATAACACTCTCCAGAAAGTACTTTTTCAGATTGAAGTTGATTCTGTGTGGTGATTGAAGAAAATCTAAATACTAAACTAAACTATGCAAAAACTTGTCTCTTTAGATACTATACCTACCAATCTACTATATGTACGTACATAGTAGTACATACTACCACAGCATACTATCTTTATATCAAATAGAATTTTGTAGAGCTGCGTTCTAAACCTACGTTTCAGGTACAACAAATGTCAAAAATTATTTATGAGTCATACAATAAATGTCGAAATCGAAACGTCAGGGTAAAAAATTGCACTCGGAGCGTAGGTTTGGAATGGAGCCCAGTCCACAGCATATGTCAGTGTATGCCATAGACTTAGTATTAACATCCTATATCTATGGCGCGTGTCTATGGTACTTACGGCTGGATACTCTCTGAAATATACCGATTTTTAAGCTGATTCAATTCGTATTCGGGTGAATCAATATATAAAAATAAACTTAATCTAAAATTAAGATAAGTGAAAATATAGTTTTATAATCACAAGAATTTGATAAAAATAATTTGTAGTTAGCTTATATAATTCTTCAATCCGGTCTCTCCAAAGTCTTCAATCCGGTAGAATATCACCATATTGTTTATTGGAAGCATCGCAAGTGCTCTCATGTGTAAATGCATTGGTAGTAACCAATGACTACCATTTTAAACAATTTTATTAGATATGTTATCCGTTTTAGTAGAAATAAACACATTTTTGGTTGCATTGATATCAATATACTAACTGCAATCAAACATAAATGCTAATATAACTCTCAAACTGTAAGGTCTTGTTCTTATTAACGGTTATCGGGATAATGTGAAAACTACTATTTGATGAATTTTATTAACACTAACAATTGCAAGAGAGGGACACATTCCACTTTCATCGTTTTCCTGCTCGGAATATTTTCCCTTTTATGAACATGGAAACAAAAATGGACTTTATGTATTACAAGTTTGAGTACATTTTTTGAATTGTCATATTGTTTCGTAAGCATTCCAGTTAGTATATAAGTTCTTTGGATCAACCAGATTTACAAACAAGTTCGAGCTCGAAATGGTTAGAGCTCAGATATTGTAGAATCACAGCTCCCAAAGCCTGCGAAGCTGCTCACTGCAAAATGTATTATGGAGCTTTAATAGAGCAAAGATTTGGAGCCAGAAAAATAAAAGACTCGGAAGCTATGAAAAGGGGAAAAGCTCTTCATTAACTAGGTGGTCGGATTACATACGAGCACTGAGTTGACATTCCAGCATGAACAAAGCAATGTTTTGAAGTTGTATACAATCATACAATTAGTGTGGACAAGTAAATAAAGACATACCTACAGATTATTAAATAAATTTTATTTATACTACAGTCGTTTCCGCGTGCTTGAGAAACAAACAAAATTAAATGTAAAACTTTCTCGTTTATAATATTAGTGGAATTTTAAGAGAATCGTCATAAAATAAAAATTATAATGCTTATAGGTTACAAACCTACCTATGAATAATTTATTTAAACTGTACTAGTGCTAGACACCACAACACTTCATTAAAATGATCTTCGCAACAATACAAAACAATTTTGATTAAAAGAGGAGTTTTATCGTCACTCCTTATAATTGCATCTCTAGAAACCTTCTAGAAACATAAAAAAATAGTTATGGCGATGAGCAGATTCCCTAGCGGCAAGTCGCAGAACTAATGTATGACAGATAGAAATACGAATATATGTAGAATGTACCGTTTTGTTCATATTTTTCAAGAATTTCAAAAAAATTATGCAATCAATTACGATAATTTAAGTGTTAAGATGGATACAAAGAATAATAAAAAAAGGAAATACTAACTGTTGTGTTCCTCAATGTAATAATTATAATAAAGAGGGTTTAAGTTTTCATATTTTTCCTACTAATGACAAGTTGAGAAAACGTTGGGAAAGTGTTCTTAGATTAGGAAAACTATCATCAAATTATATGCGAGTTTGCTCAGAACATTTTACCGAATTAGATTACTTTCCAGGTACGATCTAATAATTATTAACCTTACTGTTATTCACATCAGAAGTTATCAACACATTTATGTTAATATGTTTCTAATTTCCATGTTTAGGTACTGCAAAAAGTAGACATGAATTATAAAGGGATGTTATTCCAAGTAAAAAATTGCCTGTAAGACAGCATGACAAACAGCTGACTGTTGAAAAACAGTTATGTATTAATCAGCGTTCTGAATATGCACAAAGAAGGCATAAATAAATATTTCCGACACTTACACCAATTAGCCTAGCCCTAAAGTAAGCACTATAAGGCTTGTGTTATGGGATGCTAGGGTAACGGATAGAATACATATACTGTACATATATAAGTATATTTATATAAATACATATTAAACATCCATGACTGGAGTACAAATGCTCGTATTCATCACACAAACATCTGCCCCCACCGGGATTCGAACCCGGGACCTCTCGAGTCGGCGACAGCCATGAAACCCGGCGTACAAACCACTCGGCCACGGAGGTCGTCATAATTCTTCATAATTCTTCAGTTTCAGTAAAGTTGAAGCTGAAGTTTTTCGAGTTGTTATAGACTGTGCTCAAACTGTTGAACGGTCAAACTGTCTAAAATGTCGTATATTAACATATTCCCATTATAAGAAAGGCCACACTGCAAAATTTTAATTAGGAATTGCACCATCAGGATTAATTACATCAGTGAGTAGAAGCTATGGAGGACGAGCATCTAATAAACTCATTACATTAGAATCACATATTTTAGATAAAATGGATGTACAAGATGCAGTAATGGCCGACAAAGGTTTTTTTGAAGTTATACTTCTTTAGCCGCGTTATGAAAAAATTATGAGAGTGAAATTTTAAGATGCGCGCGCATCACTGTAACACAAAGGTAACATAATGAAGTTAGCCGCGGGCGCGTTATGAAAAAATGATGAGAGTGAAATTTTAAGATGCGCGTGTAACACTGTAACAGAAAAGTAACACCATGAAGTCGGCCGCTAAACCGCACATTACTCGTAAGTCTCGAAAAAAAGCTTCCAACAAAATAGTAATAGGATCTCTTAGTCGCACATGTCGGGACGCTCGTCGCCTCTGATCACTGTTTTCATATTTATAATTTAATAAAACTGTAAGAATGTGCGGCAGGGCGAAGGGGGAGTAGTGTGAGAAGACTGACGTCAAATAAAGATAGGCTTAGGTAGAAAATACTTATATTGTGATTACTATTCAATATTTGTAGGAGAAATGGTATTACTGTATCCCACAAGGGTGGAAGTACATGTATACTATTATCAAGACACTAAGACGTCCCACGTGGTGGAAGCGTATAGCGTGCAAGACAATAGGCCCTACCTACGAAGCGATGACTTGGTCAATTTCCCAAGAACACCTTATACAAGTGGTGTCAGTATAGTATAGCATGATTCACATGCGTACAGCGCCATCTAGTAGCGGTCGGCGTGATGATATTTGATCCTATGATGTGCCATACAATCGGTGTCGGTATAGGATAGCGCGATTCACATGCGTACAGCGCCATCTAGTAACGGGCGGCGTGATGATATTTAATACTATGGTGTTACAAAACTTATTTACTTAGATTAAATGAGAAAAACCATCAGTATATTGTTTTAAACTGAACTTAATTGACTGTGTTAACTATCCTTTTCCAGTCCTTTTATTATTTTATTGTAATTATTAATTATTTGCATGCAATTAAAAAATATTTTTAATGATGCTAAAGAAGTATAACTTCTCACGCGCGTACATAAGTTACACGCATCCATTTTTTTTATTGAAAAAGAATGTTTAGTGGTAGTTATTAATCTTTATTAAAAAACTCATTATTTGTTAACTTACAGCGTCATTTGACACTTCATCATCCTCCTTTTTTATCGAACAAGAAACAATTATCCAGAGAAGAAGCTTTGAAGAGTGCAGAAATCGCAAGAGCCAGGGTGCCTGTGGAACGAGTCATTCAAAGAGGGAGGGAGTTTGAAGTTATTGGCGCAAAAGTTGCATGGTCGCTTTTACCTTATTTTGAAGATTGTCTTATTGTTGCCTCTGGTATGACTAATTTAAGTAGTCCTGTATTAAATGTTGATAAATTTATGTAACTCAATAAAGAACGCAAATATAAAATTATTGATAAATAAGTTTTATTAAACATTACAATCATTTTAGTTTAAGTTGTTTCTGATGACAAAAATCGTATTTATTCTTCAATTGCACCTTGAAACCTCTGCTTGTCTATTATTGGCATCTTCGTCACTGCCGGTAGTATAAGACATTCGCACACCACTATAAAAAAGTGAGAATTTACTTAGAGGTGCAGAGTAAATAACAAATAAATTATGTAAACTAAGATTATAATTATTTTATTGACGTGTATAACATTCAATCTACATCTACTGTTCTTTATCTACTTACATTATAGTTGATTTTCGTCAGATCTGAACTTACATTGTAGAAGTATTTCTCTCCATCGAGCTTTCATGACCTCTGTCACTTGTACAGTTGGCCTTGATTGACACTTCATATGACACAAATCACAAAGACGTTTTGCTTCATAAGTTTTGTAATGAGTTGCTTATATTGATCCCCATTGTTGTTCCAAATCTATACAGCTCAAATCATCAAGTTCTTCTTCATGTACAAAAATTATGCACATATTAATCTTATTTTCTGTACAAAAATTATGCACATATTAATCTAAAGACGACCTCCGTGGCCGAGTGGTTTGTATGCCGGGTTTCATGGTGTCACCGACTCGAGAGGCAGAGGTGGGGGCAGATATTTGTGTGATGAATACGAGCATTTGTACTCCAGTCATGGATGTTTAATATGTATTTCTATATAAATATACTTATATATGTACAGTATATGTATTCTATCCGTTACCCTAGCATCCCATAACACAAGCCTTATAGTGCTTACTTTGGGGCTAGGCTAATTGGTGTGAGTGTCGGAAATATTTATTTTTATTTATTATTTATTTTTTGCTTAGATATTCAACAAAATAAAATAATACTGTTACAAATCAAAGGCTGATACTAACCTGTTTAAAACATGCAATGCAACACTATGTTTACATTGACTAGAATTCCCAGCTGGACATTTACATTTTACATCGATTATAAGTTGACCTTCCAGTTTTGATGTGTCCAAATTACATTCCACTTCATGTGGTTAATCAAGTACACCAGAAGTTTGTGCAGCTAAGCCCAGACACTCTTTCAGATTTTCGTTCTTTGACACCAACACACATTAACATTCCACTTTTAAAATACTGTTCACCCTCACGGAGTGGTCGTTTAGAATTTTTTACCACTTCGTAGATGTCTAACAGTGAAATCTTAGCAAAATTTTGTATAAATAATATAAAACAACAATAAAGCGGCTCTTTGTATTACACATAGGTGAAAGTATCTGTCATACGTTAGTTCCACAAACAGCCACTAGGGAAATCTCCTCGGTACCAATAAGACAGGAAGTGATCACCGCATGGTAAGAGGCACATTGAATATCGAAAGATCGCGACTGATAAAATCAACGCTCCGACCGGTGCCAGCCCAAATTCAAAACCCCGAGCGCTTTCAGCTCGAGCTCCAGAACCGCTTCGAGTACCTTGAGAACAGCATAGACGTGGACGATCTGAACGACCTGGTGGTGGATACTGTCCGTACGGTAGGGTTGGGTAGGGTCTAAACACTTTAAAACCCGCCGTACCAAATTAAAGAAACTCTCCGCATACACACTCGAACTCATGGATAAGAGACATGAAATGAGACTACAGCTCTCAGCAGATGCCCTTCGTTATAGATAGCTTAATAGACATATCTCGAAGTCGTTGACGAGCGACCTTCGCCACTTTAATACCGAGCGTATTAAAGAGGCCATAGAGTGGAACAAAGGCTCCAAAGTGTTCGCTGGAGATCTGTCTATTGGGCAAAGTCAACTCATGAGGCTGAAAACTGAGGACAGTAGTATCATTTCATCGACTTCTGAAATCCTGAGGGAGATTGAGAGTTTCTATATGTTATATTCCAGCAGAACACCAGGCAAAAGCAGAGCTCGAGATCCTAGAGCCAAGCTTACCCGACATTATACCGAGGACATCCCGGACGTCAGCCTGTACGAGATCAGAATTGCCCTCAAACAGCTTAAAAACAACAACGCGGCAATAAGATGACGGAATCACAACAGAGCTTCTGAGAGCGGGCGGTACGCCAGTACTTAAAGTCCTCCAGAAGCTCTTCAACTCCATCATCCACCAGGGCAAATGGAGCAGAAGCGAGGTGATTTTGTTCTTCAAAAAGGGCGATAAGACCCTACTGAAGAACTACAGACCCATCTCGCTTCTGAGCCATATCTACAAGCTGTTTTCGAGGGTCATTACGAATCGTCTCGCTCGCAGGCTCAGCCTCCCGAACAAGCCGGTTTCCTAAAGGCTTTAGTACCATAGACCACATCCATACGCTGCGGCAAATTATACAGAAGACCGAAGAGTATAATCGGCCACTTTGCTTAGCGTTTGTGGACTATGAGAAGGCCTTCGATTCGATCGAGACCTGGGCGGTGCTGCAGTCTCTTCAGAGGTGTCAAGTGGACTACAGGTGTATCGAAGTGTTAAAGTACCTATACCAAAACGACACTATGTCGGTCCGAGTCCGAGTACAGAATCAGAGCTCTAATCCTATCCAACTACAGCGAGGGGTGTGACAGGGAGACGTTATATCTCCGAAACTGTTCATTACTGCGATGGAGGATATTTTAAGCTTCTGGACTGGAAAGGATTCGGCATTAACATCAACGGCAAGTACCTGACACTAGTCCTAATGGCGGAGACCTTGGAAGACCTGAACACCATGCTCGAGCATCTCAGTGACGCATCCCAGCGAGTGGGTCTTAAGATGAACATGGACAAGAGGAAAATCATGTCCAACGCCCATGTTGCACCCGCTCCAGTTAATGTTGGGAACGTTACACTTGAAGATGTTGACCACTACGTTTACCTAGGACACACAATCCAGTTAGGTAAGTCCAACTTCGAGAAAGAGATCTCTCGTCGAATCCAACTCGGATGGGCAGCGTTCGGGAAGCTGCGGAACATCTTCGTGTCCAAAATACCTCAGTGCCTTAAGACGAAAGTCTTTAACCAGTGTGTGCTACCAGTCATGACCTATGGCAGTGAGGCGTGGTCGTTTACTATGGGTCTCATAGGACGGCTCAAAGTCGCCCAGCGGGCAATGGAGAGAGCTATGCTTGGTGTTTCCCTGCGTGATCGAGTCAGATATGACGAGATCCGTAGGAGAACTAAAGTCACCGACATAGCTCGAAAAATAGCCCAGCTTAAGTGGCAGTGGGCGGACACATAGCGAGGAGAACCGATGGCCGTTGGGGCGGAAAGAGTCTCGAATGGCGACCGCGTGCCGGTCGACGCTCAGTGGGAAGACCCGCTACAAGGTGGACCAACGATCTGGTGAAGGTCGCGGAAAAACGCTGGATGCGGGCAGCGCAGGACCGATCGTTGTGGAAATCCTTGAGGGAGGCCTATGTCCAGCAGCGGGCGTCATACGGCTGATATGATGATGATATGATGATTATAATCAAATAAATTACTTCACGTACGACAATAACGCGTACAAATCATGTATTTTGGCAGACTGCGCTACCGTACGAAGAGTACAGTGAACAGATCATAGCAGATGACGTCACAGTGAGTCGCGTCATTGTCGGGTGCGTATCTGAAACTAATGTACTAAAGTTGCTATATCTTCGTCATTTTTAATTCTGCATACCCCACTAAAAACATGACTGATCCTTATGACATTGTAACAATATTTTTGATGTGCAACATCTTTCCTCTCGGACCAGGCAGCAGACGGGACTCGAACCCACACCCTTCGCTATCCGGGCGAATGCACAGAAAAATTATACTACCGCGGCCCTGATGGCCATGTCGAAATTCTTCTAGCCATTCTTAAGCTTCAAGGCAGTGCCATCTCTTCGCATTGTAGGTAACCCACAATGACAAATGAAAACTTTTACAAGTATTAAATTACATTTGAAAGAAGAAATTGCAATTATAGTTATTTTTTTAAACATGTAACTGCTTGACTTAGATTAAAACAAAAAGGGTAGATACGGCACTAGCCTCACAAAAGTGATCGCATAAATTGTGGCCCAAGACCACAATCGCTTTAGTCACAACTTGACATGCAAACGACGTACATGTGAACGCCAAAACGAAATATTGCTAATATTTTGTGTTTATATGATAAAACAATGCCTAAGTGTGTTTTTAAAAAGTGCTCAAATTGCTAAGAACTAAAAATATACTCACGGCGTCACTTTTCATTCGTAAGTACTATAAAATATATTTTTTCATAAAAATTGCTGTTTGTTTTGAATCTTATTCGGTAGTGACGTCGAGTACTGGTCGCGTGATTGGTCGGTAGTGCAGTGACGCGGATCTCGCCGTCTCGTTCGCGCTGCCGTTGAAACTTAACGTGCTGTTTCGTTCGGGTCGGTAATGCAGTGACGCGGATCTCGCCGTCCCGTTCGCGCTGCCGTATGATCAGTTTTTGTTTGATGCAAGTATGAGCGTACCGTATCTACCCTTTTTGTTTTAATCTAAGCTGCTTGATGTTTAAATCTAAAGAAGATATAACTAGAAAAAATTCCACGCGGACCAAACAGCAGACAGGACTCGAACCCACACCCTTCGCTATCCGGGCGAATGCACTGACCAATTAATTTAACCACATAATTGGTCAGGTTGGAAGGGTGTGGATTAGGGTTCGTTCCTCTCGCTTTCCTGCAATTTGTGGGAGAGATTTTGTGAAATGGCAGAAGTGTGTAACAGGAAGTCGCGAAAGCGCTCGCTATTTCATTTGATTTTAGAACATAATATTCAAATGGATTATTCCTTCTGTAGTAGGTTTTATTTCTTTTTTTACTAATTTATGGTAAGGTTTCAAATGTTACTCATCCATCATACGACTACTGTAAGGCTCGCACGTTAAATATTTTTACAAGTTTTGACGCCGTGGAGTTTTTTTCGCCCGTTTTTCTACTCAACTAAATACTATCTATAACGTAAGGAAAAAAAATGGGTGCGTGTACTTATGTAGGCGCGTGAGAAGTTATCCTTCTTTGGCATCGTTTAAAATTAGTTTTTAATTGCATGCAAATAATTAATTACAATAAATTAATAAAAAGTCTGGAAAAGGACACAGTCAATAAAGTTCAGTTTTAATTTGAAAAAATAAATAAATAATCAAAATATTCAATTAAAATCGCTACTGAATATAATTTATTAGAATATATGTGATTTGCACTTGTATGAAACTCAAACACGTATTCCGAATATACAAACTAGAAACATGTGGATAAATATTATAAATATGAATACCTATAACTGTTACTTTATTACAAAAAATAAAGATGTGGTTTTTGGTTCTACTACACCAATGGTCAAGAGATGGCGCTGTAGTCTCCTGAATCGCGCTTTGGTTCCGTTGTTCCAGATTAATAAATACTTTTGATAGGCCTTCACAATGCAGTCGTTAGCACCCACAAAATAGAGATTCTATTTCTATTTTGTTGGTAGATTTTCTTAATGTGCGGTAAACACAAAAGTAACGCATGAAGTTGGTAGCTAAAGCGACCAACTTCATGCTGTTAAAATTTTGTGTTACAGTGATGCGCGCGCATCTTAAAATTTCACTCTCATCATTTTTTCATAACGCGCCTAAAGAAGTATAACTTCAAAAATAAAAGACTTGTATTATTCTATCGAATAAAGATATTTTGAATTGAATTAAATTATATTTATTTATAAATAAATATTAAACACCCATGACTGGAGTACAAATGCACGTATTCATCACACAGACATCTGCTCCCACCGGAACTCGGACTTCTCGACGAAGAGACACCTTGAAAGTCGGTATTCAAGCCACTGGGCCACGGTGGTCGTTTTATAGTCTGCACTTACAATGGTTTCGAGTCTGGCATGATCTCTAAACTATCTATACTTGAAACTAAATTGAATTTTAGTATCTCCTTTTGACCTACTTCCAAAAGAAGAAAGTTCTCAATTCGACAATATTTTTTTTTTTATTGTTTTACGCATATCTTCGTGGTTTGTGGGCCGATTTTGATGATTATTTTTTTCATCAGAGAATCCTTCAAAAGTGAGTATGGACAATGAGGTAATGATAGAAGTACAGAAGGTTCACTTTGAACAATCCAAAACAGAAATAAGGACTCTATGCTACGATATAATTAAGCACAATTCAACGTACCTGGAAGTTGCCTCTCTTTCAATCGCGTATCTCTTACCAACCCTTTTGCATGATGACAGGGTTGTCTTTCTTTAAAGAATGATTTAATATGAATATTCAATTATGTTATTCAGTTATAGAATGTTCCTATTTCTTTACTTCAGTGAACAAATAACGTTTATCTAGATATTATATTATTTTGTATGTAGCTAAAACAGTCTTTAAATTTATTAGCTAGGTACCAAATCCATAAAATATTTATATTTATATGACTATAGGATTTTCTTTATTTTCATATACAGATTTTGTATACAAATATACCGATTTTAGTAAGCAGCCATCTATCGATTTCGGACAATGACGTTCGACCACTATTAGTACCACCACAGAGTACAAAGATTTTATGATGTTTTTGTGTAAATTATTATGTAAATACGTCATTGGTGATTGTACAATATGCTACGGCCAGAGTGCACTCAGATTCAGACTCAGAAAACAAGCGCGAGAAATATAGGGTACAGGTACGGCCAGAGTGCACTCAGATTCAGATTCAGACGATTGTAACACAAAATCACACCAATTTTATTTCACAATATCCAGTATGTACGATTTTAAGAATAATTAAAATAAGACGCCAACTGTACTCTATGAAACCCCGCCAAAAACTGTCCAATAATAAGGTACTCTGTGAAACTGTCCTAATAACTTAAGGGTACGGCCAGAGTGCACTCAGATTCAGATTCGGAATCTGAATCTGAATCTGAATCTGAGTGCACTCTGGCCGTACTCATACAGTGTAGTTAACGTAGGGTGGCCATAGTGGCAGCAGGCAACCTGCTTAAACTACACTGTATATTTCTCGCGCTTGTTTTCTGAGTCTGAATCTGAATCTGAGTGCACTCTTATTAGGACAGTTTCACAGAGTACCTTATTATTGGACAGTTTTTGGCGGGGTTTCATAGAGTACGGTTGGCGTCTTATTTTAATTATTCTTAAATTCGTACATACTGGATATTGTGAAATAAAATTGGTGTGATTTTGTGTTACAATCGTCTGCGCAACTAAAGAATTATTGGAATCTTTAAAATAAACGCTATTCTGGTCGGTAGACGTGAGAACTTTATTGTAGCGATGGCTACCTCACAGATGCTTATCAAAAAAGCCAACTCGATACATTTCGTGCCAAACACTCCAAGAAACATTAGAATGCGTCGCACCGACATTCTAATGTACAGGAAAAGAGGATTATTAATACTAAAGACTGGGCTGTATGGGCATTATTCCCTTTGCCTTCCTTGAAAATGGAGAATCTTAAAAAAATAGTTATTAGGTACTTTCTCATCCCTTTGTTGTATTTTGTGTTTTAACTTGGAAAAATTAATAATCGATCGGTAACATATTTTTTTTGGAACTTACATAGAGTTTATATAAGTCAAGATGGGTAAAGGATTTAATAATTATATGTGTAAGAAATTCTTCCACCCCGCGTCTAGGGATAATCTAAAAAGGGTACGTGTTAAGCGCATTTGCTTCTATTTTATTTTAAATAATTATTATTTTATACTATAATATTACTATTGAATTCCCATGACTATTCAAATTCTACTAAATGAATGAATTGCTTATTAGTTGGTATGCAGTAATTCATTGCCATCATATTTTTTGTAAATATTGATACTTATTAAATTTACTTAGGTATGGATGGCAGAACAAAAAACTGATGCATATAAGAAAAAACAAGAAGAGCTGCGGTTGCAATATGAAAAAGAACAAGAATTACATGAAAACAAGTGAGTAGGTTAACATCCAACTATATTTTACTAAATTTATGTTAAAGGTATCAATTAGTAATACAGAAATATATGCATACTTAGTAGTTAGTAGAGAGAAATATTTAATAAATCAGTCTTAAGCTTAACTCTGGGTCTATGGAAATAAATATTAAGTAGTTCTCTGCTCATTCTTTCATGGGATTCCTACTAACAAGAAATTGAGGATTTATAAATTTCAATACAGAAGCACCATCCTGAATTTCAAATTTTCTGATAATTCTAGTGACTTTTCCAAAAAGAATCTTTCAAACAAACCTTGTCCTGACGATATTTTTCAAATTTTTCCTGGTGCTTTATACTACCAGCTGCACTTCACTACTAAATAAATACTAGGCAAACCCATTAATTATAATGGGCCTCATTCTGGGATGATTCTCTAAAGCTAAAAGTATGTATTTATGAAATTAGGATATTTATTATTTCTTTGTTAGCTATAGCAAAATAATTCTTGTCACCATTTCATTTAAAATTCAGTTGTTATGAAAATTAATAATCCAAAAACTGAAATTTTTACTTTATTACATATACAGGGTGGCAGGAAAACTTGGTCTGTTCCTTGAAAGGGGTTATACTAAAGGCTATTAGCAACAAATTAAGTCCAGTAAACTGGGGGTGAAACTGGATGGTTACCGAGTTGTGAAGGTTCTTTGATTTTTCTCTGGTCTGGATTTTTCTTTGGTCAGGCCAGCTAAAAGCCCAGACATTATCTCAATCGAACACTTATGGGACGAGTTTAAGAGGTGTGTTTGGGTTCACCAGCCAGCTCCACAAACAATGTCGGAGCCAAAACTGCCAAAGAAGAGGAATGGGAGATCATGCCACAGAACTTCATAGTCAGACTAATTACTTCCATGCCTAATCTCATCAGGGCTGTTGTAGATGCCTTAGGAGGCAATACCTCCTCTTATTAATTAAATACTTTATAGTGCTAAAATGCTTGATTTCTTTACAAATTCAAAACTACTCATGCCCTTTAATGAGGCTTGTACTTGATTTATACCCCATAACTCTTGTTTTTTTAGTATTTTGAATTCGATAAATCAGCTTCGGTACAATATTCAACTATGGGGAGTGGCCAGTAACAGCAACAGAATGTGCCTTCAAAAAGCTCAAAACGGAATTCTTCGAAACAGGTCGAACATGGTTCTCACAAAACAGCGAAATCCATGAGTACCTAAATATTCTTTTTTTTTTCTCTTTATTAGGGTAAACAAACAATGTTACAATATTGTTACATTATAGATTAATACTATCATTGTACTAATTGCATCATCCACTACATTTACCACAGAGTTTCTAACAGTAATTAGCATTGGGAGACTGTATACATTTAACTTTACTATTAATTTACTTTATTTGCCTATTATACTTAAATATGTAAATACATGCTCTATAATACAATTTCTGATTTATTTACTGACAAGTTTCAAGTACTTTACTCTTAAACGAAGTAATAGTGATCGCAAAAATGTCAATGTCATTAAATTTGTCGTTGTAAGTCTGGGCAATTGAATTTATTACTGGATCGCATTATAAAGCCATACATCTTAAATGCTTTGGCTATGATGTTGTCAACATGTAGATCCAGATGAAACTTGCTATCTAAAGTTACCCCCAGATCTCTTACCGACTTAACAGACTCAAGATATTCATTACACAATTTATATGAATAATTACTTATATTTTTCTTTTTAGTGAATGTGATTGTTTTGCATTTCATGATATTTAAATTCAGCTTATTTTCACAGCAATATATAGAGAGACGATCTAAATCTTCTTGGAATCTAATATGGTCATCCTTGCTGTCAATTGTGTGATATATCTTAAGATCATCAACATATAGCAGAAAATTACAAAAATTAAAACATTTATGGATATCGTTAATAAATAATATGAACAGCAAGGGCCCCAGTATAGATCCCTGTGGAACACCAGATGTTATCGGTACTGAGTCTGATTCGTAACCTCGGATAACAACCTTTTGTGTGCGATTCGTAATGTACGACTTGAACCAGCGCCACAAATCGCCGCGAATTCCATTGTAGGCTAATTTATCGAGCAAGATTTTATGATCCACCCTGTCAAAAGCCTTTTGGAAATCGGTGTATACACTGTCGATTTGTTTAGTGTTATCTAAACCATCAAACAGATAAGATGTAGTAGTTAGTATTTGTAGAACGACGTTGTACAAAACCGTGCTGTTGTTCAATAATGTAATTATGTATAGCAGGATATATACGATTATGCACAAGTCTCTCAAAAAGCTTAGAAAGAGTGGGTAAAATTGATATAGGACGGTAATTCGATACATTTGATTTATCCCCATTTTTGAAAACGGGGACAATTCGCGCGCGTTTCCACACACTTGGGAATGTGCCTTCATGCAAACACATATTATATATACGGTGAAGTGGATTATATATGGTTTTAGAAGTTAGTTTAAAGAATATAGGGGGAATATTTTCCAAGCCGGGGCCTTTAGAAATATCTAACCTGTTAAGCTCATTTAGTACTTCTTCGGCTGATAGTTTCACTTGGTGAATTATAAGGCTTGAGTCAGGATTAGGATCAGAAATGTTATGAATATCATACTCATTTACGTTATCCCGTGGTTCAAAAACTGATTGGAAAAAAGAAGAAAACAAATGCGGTATTATTTCTGGATTATTTGTAGTATGGTCTTTGTACGACATGGAGCTTGGAATCCCTGCATTTTTGTTTAAGTTGTGAACGTAAGACCAAAATATTTGATATTGTCATGAATGCTTTTTTCAACATTATCCATATATTTTTTATAACATTTAGAGGATTCTTTACGAAAACGATCTCTAAACATGGAAAAAGCGGCGTAATCCCTATTTTTTCTAAATTTTTTCCATTTAATCCACGCTTTATTTTTGTCTCTAAAAAGATGAATCAATGCCTTTGAAAACCACGGAGGATGGTGTTGAGACCTGGTAGATTTTTGCGGTACATGTTTATTTATAATACAATATATATTTTCATAAAATTCAGAGACAATATTTTCGACGCCTCCTTTGTACAGTAATTTATTCCAATAAATTTTCTCCATGTCTTTATTTATTAAGTTGTAATCCACTTTATAGAAATCATATGAATATATCCTCTTCATGGGCATTGTGGACAATCTAGCATTAACAGGTACCAGTGCATATAGCGGCGGGTGATTGTCATCGGGTTGAACCAGAGGAGAAGCTGCGACACATATCCTAAAACCATTTATGTTAGTAATAAATAAATCAAGTATTCTATTCTTAGAATTCTTGTATTTATTCAACAGCTGCCATAAAACACATGAAATGTAAAAAAGCAACTGGTAGAGATGCAATTCCGATAGAGACAATTAAAGCCTTAGGAGATCGTGGCGACCAGATGTTTCATCTTATTTGCAACAAGGTATGGCAGACAGGAGTTTGGCCTACTGAATGGACACACACCGTTTTCACACCCTTGCACAAAAAAGGTTGGACAAAGAAATGTAACAATTACCGCCTCATTGCTCTAATATCACACGCTAGCAAAATAATGTTGCATATTCTCAACGAGCGACTGAAAACCTACCTTTCTAAGGAGATTGCTCCGGAACAAGCCGGTTTTGTGAAGGGGAAAGGCACTCGGGAACAAATTCTCATCGTACGTCAGATCATCGAGAAGTCGAAAGAATTCAATAAGCCCTTATTCATTTGCTTTGTTGATTTCTCCAAAGCATTCGATTCGGTGAAATAGCCGGTATTATGGAAGACCTTGCTAGATATGGGCACACCAAAACATCTTGTTCACCTTTTAAGACGCCTATATAAAGAAGGCACAGCCTCAGTGCGCACAGATGATGTCCTATCAGGTGATTTCCATCCTAGTGCAGGAGTACGCCAGGGACGCATAATATCCTCGCTCTTATTCCACGCCTACACAGAGCTGATAATGCGCATCACTTTGGAGCACTGGATGGACGGAGTAACAATTGGTGGATACAGGATTGCAAACTTACGTTACGCGGATGACACCACCTTATTTGCAACCAGTTCACAACACTTGGATGAGCTACTGTCAAAGATGGAGCGAGTGAGCCGTGAGTTTGGCCTTAAAATTAATCGCAGCAAGACCAAGGTAATGATTGTTGACCGTGCCAGAAATAATTCGCCTGAAGTGACACAAATCGCGAATTGCACTGTGGTCCAATCTTATATCTATCTTGGGGCCCTGATTTCAAACAATGGCGGATGCATCGATGAAATCAAACGACGTATAGGCATCACAAGTTCAGCGATGGACAAGATGCGGAAAATATGGAGGAATAGAAACATTACTAAAGCCACAAAGACCAAGCTTGTGAGGACACTTATATTCCCCATAGTTCTTTACGCGGCTGAGACGTGGACTTTGCGAGATGTGGAAAGGCAGAAAGTGGACGCTTTGGAAATGTGGTGCTGGAGAAGAATGCTTGGGGTTTCGTGGACTGAGTTTCGCACGAACGTCTCGATACTTCAAGAACTCGGTATCAGGCAGCGTCTATTTTCGACAGTACAATCTCGCATCCTAACAATCTTCGGACACGTTTCTCGGCGTAACAACCTATCCATAGAACGCCTTGTCGTCCAAGGAAAGGTGGAAGGTACTAGACCGCGCGGAAGGTCTCCCACGCGATGGACTGACCAGATCAAGTCAGCCGTTGGAGGTTCACTAAACGAGTGCAGCAGGATGACCTCTAGCAGGCAGCAATGGCGAAACATAGTGAAGCGCATCACATCTGCCCCCTCCAATAATACTACAAGTGCATAGCGATCACGACCGCTCTGTCAAGAGCGTACCGGCTAAGAAGAGATTTATTCAACTGTAAACAGCTAAAAAGGGATAAAAAGTTAATCATGCATTTATTCGCATCGCTATAATTGCTGCTCATCACTGGTTCTGTATATGTTACACAGTCGCACCACTCTAATGTAGGCAGATTGTAGTCACCCACTACAATAAACTCGTTCACAATAGGTGATTGCAATATGTTGGTAAGAAAATCTAAATGGGAAATATATATGTCATTGCTTAAACACGGCGGTATATACACGGCACTAGCTATGCATCGATAGTTCCGTGATTTTATTTCAATAAGAACATGATCAACCAGCGGTGAGGCGGCTGCGTGAAATGTGGCACTATTGTACCTATGTACAGCCTGTAGCCCTCGCAAGGCTGCCACGAGAACCCCCCCACCGTCCCGCCTCCCGCTACCACAACGATCCCTATCGTGTCTAAATACCTGGTACCTAGCATCCACAATTTGACTATCATTTATATTACAATGCAACCAGGTTTCAGTTAAGTATTCCTACTATAATAGAAGAAATACAAGGCTGCAAGGAACGACAGTTCCAACGACTAACCATACACTGCAAACCCACTGGCCAACGAGTTGCTAGATACGTCGAATATAACTAACAAACTCAGAAGACGTAATGTTGTTTAGCTGGGAAGCTGAGGCACTGGCCTCTGCTCTCTTAAAATCATTCCGCATGCAACAAAATTAATAAGTCCTTAAGGAATGATGGCAATTAGGATTGTGGGGGGGGGGGGGGAACAGTTTCAAAACTGCTTAAAAACATTTTGCATAATGCAACATTTATTTTTAGCTAGGGTCAGTCAAAACTTAAAATGCTAGGTGGGCCGATAGATGTGTCCAGAAGTGTAGGTATATAGCTGAATAGTATAGTCTGAATGCACCTTTTTATAACGAAATTTATTTTACTACTTTATGAACTTTACTTATTTTCAGAGCTCTACTAAGTAAAGAAAGCAAAGACAAATTAAGCTTAAACTTCATGTATGAACCGCCGCCGGGTGTTAAAAAAGAGCGGGAGCGTGAAGACAATGAACCAGAGTATAAATTTGAATGGCAACGCAAATACAATGCACCAAGAGAAAGCTATTGTAAAGGAGATAATGAAATCAGAGACCAGCCATTTGGCATACTTGTTAGAAATGTCAGATGTATTAAATGCCATAAATGGGGTCATATAAACACAGGTTTGTTATTAATATAATATTTGTTAAAAAGGGAAGCGCAGCGAAGGGAAGCCAGGCAGAGTAACGCGTTACGTAACGAAACGGTTTACTCTCCCATAAAAAGTTATCGGCCACAATGAGGAAACCCGTAGGAGAGCCAAAGTAACCCATATTGCTTGAAGGATAGCTCTGCTGAAGTGGCCGTGGGCGGGACACGTAGCAAGAAGAACTGCTGGCCGTTGGGGCGGAAAGGTTCTAGAAAAGGCGACTACACACCGGACGACGCTCAGTGGGCAGGCCCCCTACAAGATGGACCGACGATCTTGTGAAGGTCGCGGGAACCCAATGGATGCGAGTGGCGCAGGACCGATAGGTGTGGAGTAGTGTTGCCCAGATTCAGTCTTGGTTTTGCAGTCTTGGACTTGTTCTTGCATTTTTGCAAGACCAAGACCAAGAACAAGACCGCGTATTTTTAGCAAGACCAAGACCAAGACTGACCATGCAAGACTTGAGCAAGAACAAGACAAGGCAAGACTCTTGCGTCTTGCAGCTAGGACTTAGCGCTATTTCACGAAGTAGTTAGGTATAACAGTTTGGTGTATAGGTACGCTTAGAAATTCTATGAGAAACAAAAAACTGTATCAAAGAATATGAAAAACTGCACCTATGCGCATTACGACTAATACCATAAACATACATAGCGAATAAAAAAATATCCATTAAAATGAAACAGAGTGCATGCATAGTTTTGTTTTAACCATCGGCACTTTGATAATGCGGCATCAAAGGTTTTGTACTGACTTCTGAAAGAAATTTGCCGCTTTTCGGAAGTACACGGCGGCTTCTATTGAAATCACATACAACAATCGTTGCCGCCGCGCTGAAATCACAACATTTGACACTGTTTGATTGCCGCCACAGGGCCTAGGTATACTCATGCAAAATTCTAATTTCGTGTCGTGCCGTCCCACTCACGCTAATACTATTTAATATATGAGCGAGCGAGACGGTACGACACGAACTTCGATTGTCGAATTTTAAAGTACAGGTGTTCCAAAGAATAAATAAGTTTCAGAGTGCTTAGAATGGAAACGAATACATTATACTTGATCACACAAGTAGTATTATGATTAAATAATGGTAAGGATAGGTAGTAGATGTCATAATAATTTATTCTAGTAAGTATATATTAGAATATTGATTATATGGGATTATGATTGGTCTTTACTATCTATGGCTATGTTAATTCAAGCTCACAATGTTCCAATTCTAATACGTTTTTCTAAGATCTAAAGTTAACTTTAATAAATAGCAATAGTCTAATAGGTAATTGCAAGACTCTTGCTGCAAGACCAAGACCAAGACTGGAAGCGCAAGACCAAGACCAAGACTTGCTAAGTCTCGTCTTGTTCTTGCATTTGGGCAACACTAGTGTGGAGATCCTTCGGGGAGGCCTATGCTCAGCAGTGGGCGTCGTACGGCTAAGATTTTTTCATTAAGTACTTACGTAACGTGTTACATTTCCGGTACTTTTTAAGGCTGTATGAAGTTCGCCGGGTCAGCTAGTAGAGAATAATAATTTGCTACAGGCGAAACGCGTCGCGTCGCTTCGACTCTGCGCCAGTGTGAGTTGAGCCTTAGTGAATCCATCGTGTAGTTTGTACCAAAAGAAGTGCCCTCATTTTATAGATCAGTGTTATGCGGCGTCGTCGCCGACTGAATTTGTTGGTCAAACCACCTCCTTAGCCGTATATAGCTCTCGACAGTGTTTCCAGATCCCTGTCTTAGAGTTCCTATTTTCTTTGTTAAGTTGCGTTATGGCAGCGGGATCTGCCTCTGCACCCGCTGCCGGGCTGATGATCACATTATGCTTTAATGTGAAAATAACAACAAAAGATATTTTTATGCAAATTTATTAAATTACTAAAAAGGTTTACTAAACATTGTTTCCTCTTTTAGACAAAGAATGTACTATGTATTCACTGTCTATGAGTGAAGCAAGAGCTTTGCAAGCATCAACTGCAGCGCCAGAGGAAGAAGAAACCAAGCCAGATGTGCCTACTCTTATGCAACAAATGCGCGATACTGGACTTGTCATGAAACCTGGAGCTATGCCTTTAGCTGCAAATAAAATAGAGGAAACTGATTCATCAAATCTCACTGAAGTTGACCTGATTAGTCAGTTGACTAAGAAGCAGAAGAAGAAATTATTAAAGTAAGCAACATTTTCTTTTTATTCATTCAAGAAACATGATTTACAATATACCTAAATACAAATTGTTACGTGTCGGAATAGGGTTCGAAATTATATGCCAGTTCACGCTTGACAGTTCTTTATTCACCACACATTACTTTCTTAAACACAATACTACACTCACTATACAAGTCTTTAAACAATCGCACTTGAACACTTTACTTGCACTTTGATCGTCTTCGTATTCGTTCCGAAATCGCTGTTGAAACTCCACTGTTCATTGCGCGGCAATCGACGCATTCCAAAAAAGTCCAGTTTAATTTTGCGTTCACTAGCGCCGCCGAGTACGTAGTACCTATTTATACGTAGACAACGCGCATGAATTTGTAAACAAGTGCAGATGTCGTTGCACTTTCACCCTTGCGTCACACTGTATAAGGCTCATATTACAATGAACAGCACCACTCGACCTTTATCGAGATCATTCAAGTCGCGACTCGCGGCACTCCGGTCAAATCTGTTTCCAGTAATTTCGCGGTTTTGGTTCCAGAGCGTTTGTGACAATATAATGAAATTAAGCTCTCTTGTTGAAAAAACAAAATATCCCTGACAGTCTTTTTTCTTCATGCAGCTCGATGTTAAGCAGACCGAGAGCAATCATTTACGCTGGATCGCGAGACACAACTCGCTGATGGGCCGAACGGATGAACAACCGAGGCTTCGTTGTATGGAACCCCAGTAAACAGATTCTCCTTGTTAGATGCATCTGTTCTTGTTTTCAGCTACGGTATTTTAACAGCTTTAGGGCCTGCGCTGCGTTGAGCAGGAGCACGGAGTGGACGTCCGCTCGCGTGTTAGTTACAATTTTTTTTGTAAAGTAGCTCTGCCTAAGCGAAGCTCTTGCGTTAAGCGAGAGTGTTTGTTTCATGTTTTATTTCATAGCTTCGCTGCGTGAGGCGGGTCTCCCGCGCAGCGCTGTTCTATGAAATGACATAAAATGACGTGTTTGTGAAGTCGCCACGTAGAAATGGCATGTTTTCAAAATCGGTTTGTTCGTATGAAAAATGGCATTGAATTTATGGGAGAATAACAACATTTTGCTCAGCCGTAATCTTAGAACAGCTAGCTCTAAGACCGTAATATATATTCCTTATATCATATTTTCAGAAAATTGGAGAAACTGGAAAAGAAGAAAGATAAGAAGAATAAGCACAAGTCCAAACATTGAATCTTGAATTGTTAAAATTAAACATAAATGTAATAAAAATGAATAATTTTAGGTATGTAAGTAGTTGACTTTTTTACGTACCTTACTACCCTCTACTTCTTTTAGCGTTTACTTTTTATGGGATCTTGGTTTTAGCGTCAGTTACAAAAAAATTTGATGCAGAAAAAATGCGCCTAAAATTGGAAGTTAAAAACCAAATAGGGTTCATAACTGCCCTTTTATCACGGCTAATGGCGCATCCGGCATTAGTCTCCGTGAAAGCTGTCAGTTTCATACATTTTGTAACCAAAGAATCTAAATCACTCGTTCCGTGTGTTCGTTGGTCAGTGTGGTTACACTAGTGTAACTACGAAGAAGACGCCGTTCCTCGTCGTTACACCATGGTATGGTAGAGGTTGACTTGACTTTGATTTATCGATACAACAGATTTTCTTACCTACGTAGATTTATTGTAATAACAGTATTAAATTAAACAACCACATAATCTTAATTTTACCGCTTTTAGCAGCTTATTCTAGCTAGGCTAGTGTGTTCCCTTGAGGGTACAAATTCTACCAACCACTCATGTCCTGACTAACCTTCTTGGTTATGCAGGCCGAAGCAGCGGGAGATACGCGCGGGATGACCTCCACCGCGCGTACTTCTTGTCTTTCTCAAATTATTCTTTATCTGTCTCCTTTGTCTCTATCATGGAGGTTAGAGAGAAGGAGAACGATCGCTACGTATTAAAGCATTAGCCCGCCTGCCCATGAAAATTTGTAGAATTTTTCAGCCACCAGCCGTCGGTAAGTAGTATCTGTGAAGTAAGCTGTTTATGAGTACAAGTAGATGAAGGTAGTTGAATATTTTACAAATTTTCTTCGCGCCATTGGTCATTTCAAATTAGCCTGCTTTTATTGAGACAACTTAGCGGTCGCAGCGCCTCACTTATTTTGTCCATATTTCTGGGACACTATTTTCTGCAGCCATTATTCTCCTTATCTCTAACCTCCATGGTCCCTCTCCCCTTTCTGGGGTGGACGCACAAGAAACTCCTTCGTCGCCATCCCATGCCCACTACCAAGTGGTACCGCTGGACCTCATCCGCTATTCTCCCATTGTTACTCCCTCTCTGATTTCTTCTCCTTCGAGTCCACTCCGAATCACCTAGGTCAGGGGTGGCGCTGTTTCAGAGTATCAATCACATAAAATACTTTATTAGGTACACTTAAAATTGGTTCGACCACAGGACACAACAAGGCTGTTCTGTGGGTTCAAGGGTGAACAAATCGGAAAAAATCTTGATTGGCGGGTGTTGAAGACTGCAGTTGCAGCCAGGACCAACGGCTCAACGTTTCTTCGAAGCTTTGAGGAGCTGAAGACAATAAAGGGGGTAGCGGGTTAAGGGGGGTCTGGCGGCCCCCGCCGAATCTGGTAAAATCGTTCCAAAAATCTTGAAAACGGTCGAAAAACAAGCTTTTTACCGACTTTACAACCCCAAACGAAAACACAGTAATGGCGAAATATATGTTTTTTTGTGATTTTTATTTTTTTCAACCAGTTTAATTTATTTTTAAATGGTTTAAATGCAATTAAAAATTTGTGTTTGATGTGTGGCAGTCCCATGAATTTTTTCAGATTTTTTGGTCAAGTAAAAACATGTGAATTTTAAGTTTAAATGCGAAAAAATCGTGAAAAACGCGTCATTTTCAAGATTCAACCCTCTTATTTTTAGGGTTGTTTTCATTTTCCAGAGGGCTGCTGTATAGTATAGATAGCGGCAATCGCCCTCTTTCGAGTGCAGGCAATTGGACTCAATTTGGTCAACTCTGGTGAGCGGGGCGATTTATTGAAAAAAACTCGAATTTTCAACTTTCGGTAAATTACGGCGCGTACTTGGTATAATGCGTCTTTGCTATAAAAAATACATCTCTAAGGGTTTTTGAGGTCGCTGATCACGAATTTGATGTCAAAAAAATTTTTTGACAACAAATTCACCCATAAATATTTATTAACACAGGTTTGATAATGTATACTAGGTATAGGACATACAGATAATATATTAAATACTAAGAACAAGTTTTCATTATCACAGTTTTAGATAATCACTTCATACTTCATCTCTGCCATAACTATACAACACTCATTTTCATAACTATAGCTTAAAGATAACCAATATAAACTAGCAACTGTTTGTATTTACACATGTTCAAATTTTATTAATAACATGTAGGTACTTATGTAATTAGGATGAATATTTCATCAACATACTTACCGCACTATTCATTTCAATTAAACTTGGGAATTAAGGACTGTTCTGCCCTGTCGTTTCACTGTTCCAGAGAACTAGGTCAAATGGTGGAGATAATTATAGAAATTTAACCTTTTCTGTTTTTGTTATTAGTTATCCATAATAATAGATAACAATTTAAATCGATATTTCATGCATTCATGAAACATAAACTTTAAATTTTAACATAGGTTTTTTCATCTATTTCAATAATATCCTGTCTGTCATCTCTTTCTTTCCAATGCAAGTACAAAACAAGGCCTGTTATGACAATAAGAATAGCAGTAAGCACAAATACACTTTTAAGAATTACTTTACTAGGGGTTACAAATAACTGTGCTCTCCATTGCGAGGCATCATTTGGAGGTGCTGGAATAACTACTATTTGAGAATTTGGAATTATCTGAGTCCAACTCTTAGAATGCCCAGAAAGACCAACATTCAAAGTATCTACAAAATTTGGTGTGCGATCTAATCCAAATATTGAATAAGGTAATTGAAGAGCAAAGTATGCAGATTGTGGCAGCTGTGCACAGACTCCTGTCCTATAACTTCCTTCTTGTGACCAAGTATTATAGCCAATTTTTGGTCCTGGTAAATTAGTACCTGTAAATAATGAATTGATTTTTTTTTTGCATGTACTCACTAACCAAATCCCTTTTGATCATTTTCTTATCCATCTACTAAAGAAGAATTTTTATTCACTTTATCATAACTAGGTAAGACAAAAATATATTTTATCCTTTTGCATAATATGTAGGTAACTTAATAATATATGTAGGTAATAATATGTAACTTAGGAAAATGGAAAACAAAATGTTCTCCTTTTGTAGGTTAAGAAAATGGACCAAAGGAAATAAAAACACCAAATCATTATTTCTAAAACATGAAAAAAATAGTAATACAAAATTTGTTCTGATGTTTAAATAGTTGACTGAAATTTCGTGAGAAGCTCTTCAAATAAAGCAGCTTCTTTTTTAGTGGCTGCTCATTAGATGGGTGACAAGAAATTAATTATCTCGAGTTTAAGTAGTTGGTTCTGGGTGCATCTGCAGTTGTTAGTACCATTAATTATCTCGAGCTTAATTAGATTGTTCCGGGTACATCAGCAGTCGTTAGAACCTAGCAATCTATATTGGGCTTTATTTCTGAATCATGGCTAGGGCAGCGAGCCCGGGTTTTTCCGGTCCGTAAAAACCCGGGTTTTCCCGTTAGAATCACTACGCCATAGAATCGGAACTGAGGAAATCCGTAGGAGAACCAATATTATGCTAGCTTGACCGATTGCTCTGCTGAAGTGGCAATACATCTATTGGACACGTAGCGAGGAAAAGCGATGGCAATTGGGGCGGAAAGATTCTTGAATGGCGACCACGCACCATATGACGCGACGCGACGCTCAGTGGGCAGGCTCCCCACGACCACGAGGTGGACTGACGTAGATCGTCGGTAAAGGTCGCGGGAAGCCGCTGGATGCGAGTGGTGCAAGATCGAGCAGTGAGCATTGTACGATTGATATGATGATGAAGAAAAAATTGTCGTTTGTAATATTAAAACTGTTTTTGTTTAATGTGAACAGTATTATTTCATTAATTTTAATACTTCCTCATACTTTCAACATTTTGTACTCATTGTAAAAAGTTGATTGAAGAACACAATTACTTGTATTTTCAAAAATTATAACGGAAAAAAAACCAGGTGGACCGGGTTTTGATTATTCTTGGACTCATAAACCCGGGTTTTCAAAATTTAACCGGGTTTAATGCCCTAGTCATGGCCCAATCTCCTTGATCCATTCTTAGAAAAGGCCTATGCTCCAGCAGTGAGGATGAATAATGATACAATAATTGCCGCCTCCTCTTCCGAATCAAATGAGCTTTTTTCTTAAACTTTAAAATGAAATAAAAAATGAAGCATGAATTTCTGAAAGTCGAGAATAGAAGTGGGGCATTGACTCCAGTGACCATATTCTTAATGGTCACCAGAGTCAAAGTACTTCTCTAAACTGTTCACTTACCAAAAGTGCCTTTGCGTTTGTAAAGGGTGCCATTTATTGTTGGAGTTTTTTCATTTGTCAAGCCTGTTACGACTATGACTTTTATGAAATTGGTATCATATTCCAACTCATTTCTGAAAGCATGCATATTATATTTTTTGGTTGTGATATTCCTCCTAACATATATTATATCGAGCACGCCATCCATGTAAAAGTCGTAAAAAGTGGCCATCACAATGTTTGTTCCAAAAGAATAAAACAAGTCCCATTGGACTTGAAAAGTTCTAGAGAATTTACACCCAGGAGCAGAGCATGCAATGTTATGGAGTAAGAATACTCTGGTTTCTTCATTGTTTGTTGGACTTAGAGTCATTAATATATCAGGATAACCATCCATGTTGTAATCACCACTGCGCATAGTGATGGCATCTAAATATATCTCATTCCTAGGGGGTGCAAACCTCCATAGAGTTCCTTTGCCATCATTTAGGTCAATTTGTAAATCATGCCATTGTTGATCGTCATAAATTAATATAGTGCTATTAAAACATTCAGTATCAGAACAAACAGGTATTACTAGAAAAAATTGTCCTGAGAGCGCCACATCAATGAACAAAGCTTGTCCATAAATAGCTTGATGACCCACAAGTAATTCTATACTTCTATTGTATTTAAAATTTTCTGCTTCGTTTAGCCATACTTCTATGTCAGTTTTGGTTGTAACTAGAAGATCAGCAGAATTATCATTATTTATATCTAAAAACGAGTGAGAATGAGGCAGCTTTATTTCTTTATCAGGTCCATCTTCCATTGATATTTCATTAGGAGTACCTCTTGTTTTATCAAACACCCAATAGACTCGTTTTTTTTCAGTATTTATTCCAAATAAATCTAATGTCATATCTCGATTAAAATCCATTACTAATGGTTGACCATAAGTAATGGCTTTTATCATTAATGCATCAGAGCAATTTAACAAGGAGCCACCCCACAGAATTCTGACTTCATGAAGATTAGAGCTATCATTCAGATTTTGTGTAGTCAAAAGAATATCCATGTAAGCATCTCCATCAAAGTCTCCAGGTACAACACTCGTGATTATAAAATTACTGAAATTACATGCGTAAGGTGACGGTCTCAAGAAGGGTTCCTTATCATGGGCAAGGTAAACTTGAATATTTGTTTTGTTATTGATAACAAAGGCATCTGTTAACTCATCTGAATTGAAGTCTCCAAAAGCCCCTAATGATCCTTCTGTGTATTTTCCAAACGAACTTTCAGTCATATCGTTAACTGTTAAAACGACCTCTAATTTGTTAAACACTAAAATAATAAATAATAATTGTAAAAACATTGTACAATTCTTGACACACATTCTGACACAAAAAAGAAAATAAAATAACAAATTGTTTCTTTTTTTAATGTTTTACGGCCGTGAATTTGTCCATTTTGACCACTAGGAATGTCGAAAGTTGAAATAAATATCGATATTTAAAAAAATATCAATGGGACCAATTCTGGCGTTACATTCTCTAAACCTAAACTTAAAATTAGAGTGCTAATTTTAGTTTAGGGTTAGAGAATTAGTATTCTGAAATTGCTAACTAACTAAATTATGAGAACAGTTGACAGCTGTAAACGAGCATCTAAATTGAATTCACAGATTATGTAAAATTGAGTATGCATTGAACCGGTAATTATCGGTTTACTCAAATTAGCAATAATTACTTATTATTCAGTGATTTTGACTTCTTTTTTTTATTTTATTTAAGTAAATCTTTGTTGTTCTTCAACATATTTGAAATATGAAAACTTAACATAACTTTGTTATCTTACTGTATGAGAAATTATGAATCAATAATATTAAAGAGTGAATACTTGCGTACTCTGTGGTACTTAGGGTTTCTAGATTGGGAGTGTTTATCCTTATTTTGGGGAAAAATAAGAACTTGGAGAAATGTAATCTGCATGGAAAACTTAAGGAATTATATTTTCTCTTTGAAAAAGCCAAGTATTTACTTGGGCTAAACGATGTGACGAAAAAAAATTACAAAGAAGTGCATCGAACGAGCAATTAGGTAGGTACCATTGCGCCGTGATGCAGTCTAATCATTCAGATGAAGTAAATAGGGTAAGTGTACTCGTCCGAGCAAAAACGTTAATTGTTTTGTCTGATGTATCACTACGATTGCCCGGCGGCACCGCGCCGGCGCTGTATTCATGCAACGGGCCGTGGCCGAGCCGAGGCGGGACCAAGTTTTTTCCGAGCGTTGTTTCATTTGTTGCTCGGTTGTTAGTCGGTTACTGCATGACAACCGAGCATATAGCGTATAAATAGCGTGAATGTTATATTTTACATGGATTATGGACATAATCCATGTAAAATAAATTATTTAATATTAGTTAACTAGAGAAGTTCGATGGCGCAGACGATTAGCTCGTTCGGCTGCGATTGTTGAAGTTAAGCAACTTTTTCAGTGGTCGGTCATTGGATGGGTGACCAAAAATCTTCTATGTCGAGTTCCTCGTTCTCCCGGCTGCATCTACAGTCGTTAGCACCCGCCAATCCGCACTGGGCCTGCGTGGTGGGTCATGGCCTAATCTCTCTATTTCATCCATAGGGAAGGCCTGTGCCCCAGCAATGGGGACATTAATAGGCTGATGATGATGATGATGATGATGATTAGTTAACTCAGCTACGGCCGACAGGGTCTAACGTGAACCATCCCTGAAAATTTCTCGCATCGTAAATTCTCAATCCAGCGTATCTATCTAATACCTATAATTTTAGTTTCGGTAAGAGGTTGTAAAATTATCCCTTCGGCCGTTTTGTGAAGATTTTATTCTCATTTATTGTATAATCCGAGATGCGTAACCTATTTTTATCTTTTTTGTTTCTATCAGTTTTTGGCGAGATCATCCCAATTATTCATTTGGTGAAGATGCCCAGTTTAGGATATATAAAAACAAACTTTTCAATTACAAACAGTAGGTACTTATTTCGTGTTTGGTTATTTTAAGAAATATGATTAGCTTATAAAAAGTTGGAAATAAAAACATTTCTAACTAATAGGTATTAAAAACTGCTTCATAGAAACAAAACCACATAAAACAAAGGAACAAATAATACATTAAAGTCTAAAGTACATTTAAAGTCAAAACAACATTTGGATTGCAATTGGTGATTGGAATGCAAATCACTGACACCATATCTCTATTATCTTGTAATTATTTGACTATGTACTTTAGATATAAGTAGGATCTGTAAGTATTACTTATAGAATTAGTACATAGATTTTTTACCTTTTTAGGTTGTTTTTATATGAAGTGGATTTTTATTTATGTTATATAAGATTTTACCTTAAATTATTTAGTATTTTATACAAGATATACGTGTACATTACCTACGAAAGACCACAATAGCGCAAGTGTAACGCTTTCGTTCTGCGATCGTGAATGTTAAGCAATTTTCACAATGGCCGATCTTAGGATGGGTGACCAACCCAAAATGTATTAAATCGAGTTCCTATGTTGCTGCTCGCTGCAGCTCGGATTTATTATAAGCATGACACATTAATAGGCTTATAATAAATCCGCATCGTAACATAGACCCACCTACCTTTTTAAAAGATCTAGCTAATATATTATTATCACCGTCGCTGTTCATTATTGTATAAAATTTATGTCTTTTTTTAACGAAATAAACCCATATACAACCTTAACAACAAGTTCAAAACTTAAGTACAGCAATCATTTACGTGATATTTGGCCCCAATTATTCACATTTAAATTTAGAGAGGACCTCCGTAGGTCCTTCTTAAATTTAGTGTGCCATTTCTAATTTTAGAGAAAATATGTAATATTTAGAACGCGTTTCAGAATACCATTTAATCATCTAAATCTAAGTTGAATAACTTAGTAACGTCAATTTTAAATTTAGAGATAGAGTGTCATTACAGAATACCAAATTGAATTTGACAACTCTATATCTAATTTTAGTTAGTTTTAGCTAACGGCTAACCTAACGGCCTATACCTAACGGCTATTACCTAACGGCTCTGGTCTCAATGGCACCTCAGCGGTAATCACCAACATTACACACCTTTACACTATAAAGTACTATTTTATCTATTATAATTTTATTCTGATTCAATAAAATATGCTTGGGTAAACTTTTTATAAGCATAGGTACCTACTATATATAAAACAGAAACAAAATACGACTGTATAGTGTTAATTACCTATTTTACTTGAATGAACTGCTAGTATCAAAATCATTTTGGTCCGACTGTATAGGGTTGCTACATGCATACTAGTGGCGCCATCATTTAATGTCACGACCTTATAGACAAACTGTACTATGCGATTCAGTTGTCCAATTTAAAATTGCAAGTCTGCGGGTGCTCTAATAATACCAATTACAAACAAATCACAGATTACAGAGATTATTTTTATGGTTGGTTGGTAGAACAGTGATGTGACCAAGATCTGAAATGAAGCGTGGCTGAAATTGGAACTAATTTCAGGAAGATTTCAGTTAGGTGATAAAGAAGTCTTTTATTTCCTATAGTCTTTCTGAGTTATAGTAAATTATAAAGTTCCCTTTAATGAGGAGATTTAATAATGCTTATTTTCTGTTTATTCACCAGCAGCGCCCTCCTGTCAGTGTCATTTAAGTGCCACAAGATCTTAGTCACCGAGCATTTTTTTGAGTTGCACTGTATTAAACTCACATAAAATTATAGGAAATAAGCCAAGGAATATACCAAACCCTCCGGACTTACGCCCTCATGCAAAAGGAGTGTATATTCCTATTACTTGCTCAGTGCCCTCAAAACGTATTATCCAAGTAGACTGTGTTTAAATAAATAAGTTATATCTGAACCTCGGTAATGACTGACGGAGTCCAAATATTGAGACGCAACCGCCCTGGTTCTAAAGCTAAGGTAAGTAAATTCTCCAATATCACTACTCGAACGATATAACAAGTGTTTTTTTGTTATTATTTTTGTAAGCAGGACTTCTGTCGATGGCCTGACGAACCATTTGAAGAGATGGATAGTATCTTGGCAGTACCTCAGTATATACAGCAAACTATACGACGTGATCCCTCTAATCTTGAAGCTATTCTGAAAAAACCCGAAGCTCAAGAAGAGGGGGTATGGAAATATGAGCATTTAAGGTATTGTAATACTTGTCTTAGTATGAATAAATGGTTGTGTTATTACCTACTTTTTATTTATTCTATTTTGTATTTTAGGCAATTCTGTATGGAATTGAACGGACTAGCTGTTAGATTACAAAGCGAGTGTAAGCCAGAGACATGTACTCAAATGACAGCTACAGAGCAATGGATATTTTTGTGTGCTGCTCATAAAACTCCTAAAGAATGCCCTGCAATCGATTATACCAGGCATACTCTAGATGGTGCAGCTTGTTTGCTGAACAGTAATAAATATTTTCCAAGCAGGTAATTTTATTAATTGATTTTATGAATTTATGGGTATTAACTTTACTGGTAGCACTTCTTTCAATTATTTGTAGTTTGAGTAATTGTCTCATTTTTTCTGCAAAAAATTGCGGAACAACAGTATATAGTTGGGTATATGTAAATTTTTTGACAATGTGTATATCCACACATGGTGTTGAATAATGAATAGAAATTAAGATTACAAATTAGCAAGCTCATAATATGAAGTCTATATTCTCAAATGTTGTAACAGTAACAAACAATAATATCTCTCCCTGCAGCAGTATTACAATTTAAATTCCTGTTACCACTAATGTGTTATAAAAATATTTGAATGATCCTAATTAGAAGTGTGTATGAACAAAAAGAAGATGATAATGAAAACTATTTATAAATGGTACAACTTTAATGTATCTATTTCTCAGAATACCTTTCTTACTTATTAGGGTTCCATCAACAATTTAACCCTCATATTTTCTTCATCTCTTTCTGAAGGGTAATTCAGAAACAATTAGTTTTAAAGAAGCTTTTATTTAAGGAAACAGGGATTAATTTTTGTATATTGTTGTGATAGTTAATCATATATAATTTTAAAAACAATCAGAAATTCATTGGATAGTTATTTTTCATTTATCTCATTCACCAGTAGATATCTATGCGCGTAACTCTTAACTCTGCATCTTTGTCTTGCTTGGCTGATAGTTGCTCATAGTCTATAGGAGAGTGGAAAGTAAAGTCCTCCACTCGGGAAAGGCAGTCTGCTACAACATTATCTTTGCTGGAAATATGTCGTATGTCAGAGCAAAATAGCGAGATGAAATTGAGATGTTATAATCTTCTTTCTATATCACATAAGCTCTCTGGTTTGTGTAGTGCAAATGTAAGCAGTTAGTAGTCATATGTTTCCGTTAGGCAATTGACCCCAGTCCTTTAAATACCATATCGACGAATCTTTGAAAAGTTTGGCTTGCCTTACGTAGTCCAAACATCATCCTCGTAAATTTGAAAAGTCCAAATGGCAAATTAACATGTTTTTTTTTCAGAGTCAATATCAAGGAATCATCTGTAACAAAATTGGGTTCAGTGTGCAGGAGAGTGTACAGAATATTCTCACATGCGTACTTCCATCATCGGTCAATATTTGATGCATTTGAAAAGGAAACTCATTTGTGCAAGCGTTTCACATATTTTGTGACAAAGTATTCTATCATTCCTAAAGAAATTTTGATATTACCTAAGCTTGATGATGAAATACCCATAACTCAACCTGTTGGAGAATCTGAAGCTTAGAAAGTTTTTTGTCTACTCTCTAATAATAATCTTGTAGCACTGCATTTATTTATGAAGTGAAATAAGTAATATAAACCACTAATAAACTTTGTGTCTCCAATTAGTTGTTTTTAATGGAGTATTTAGTGTTATTTTTCTCCCACAATTTCATGAAACAGTGTCATCACTCATTGGCGCATGTCGAAGCGTACGCGTCATGGTTTCCCGTCTTTCGCCTGTAGCAAATTCATCTCTATTTCCCTATTAATAAGGTACTAGCGGCCGCGTGGAGTTAGTTAGAAATAAAGGTTCACCGCTCGTTCCCCGTAGGTGATAATATGTAGCCTATATGTTGGCCCGACTTCTTAATAATATTTGTGCCAAATTTAAAGTAAATCCAAGCAATACTTTTTGATTTTATCGCGGACATACATACAGACAAAAATTCTAAAAACTATATTTTTGGCTTCAGTATCGATTGTAGATCACACCCCAAGTATTCTTTTAAAAAAATATTCAGTGGACAGTTGACTCTTACCATTTTATTATATGTATAGATTACCACTTAAAAAATGCGCGATGGCATGCAAAGGCGCGGCGCGACCCCTTAATATCAAGTTTAATTTTTTTCGCCTGTCGCAGTCATATCTATTTTTTCACTAATAAGATATACCCAAGGCTGAAATCATGACGCGGCGCGTGACGCTTTGACTCTGCGCCAGTTTGAGTTGAGCCTAAATCTGGTTGTTAATTTTTATATTTTCTTGTTTTGAGAAATTGTTTTACCATGCTGGGCCCGGCCTGGGGCTGAGAGTGAAAATTTATGAATCAGTTGCCAATTTTTTGTACAGATACTCGATACCTTTTCTCTTCTATCAATCACTGGCTGAGCTGAGCTACCTAGGTAATTACAGACCCGTAGCTGCACCGTCAGATTAGATTGATGTTGTAATTACTGCGCACAGCACACCTATGTTCAATAGTGTCCTAAGTCCAACCTTGCAGGATCTAAAGATATTGGGAGTTATGGTGACAAGGATGTTACTTGTGACGACGACGTCTTGCTTTGGTATAATAGATACTCAAAGACGTCTTAGCTGCGCCACAATCATATTTCATTATACAACTTCTTAAGCTGGCTTCCCCCGTTCCGCTATTTTACGGATCTTTCACGCACAGCAACGCACCGCAGACAGGGCTCATCCCACGGTCCGTTGACGGTGCGGATCGGACTGTATAGTTTCGTATTTATCTTCATTTCAAAATGCAAAGTGAACGAGCACGTATCTACAGCTGCGGCTGTGTTATTATTTAGCAATTGCCAAATTATGCGATCCAGTAAAAGGAAAAAAAGCAACGTCGCTATTGGATGTCAGCATTCAACAAAAGTCGTTTAAGGTAATCTCTTATCTAATTTTAGTTTTTGCTTTGATACCCCTAGGTAGGAATGGGATCATGGGAGAAAATTGACAAGACACGTTCCCTGTGGTCCTACCGGGGAATCGTGTATTTTAGTAACTTTTTTCCTTCCAGGTATAACGGAACTGATATGCTCCATGATTTCCAAAAAGAACCAAGCAACACATTCTTTATAATTTTTATTATTTTTAAAGCATGTAACTGCTTGATGTTTAAATCTAAAGAAAATATAACTAGAAAAAATTCCACGCGGACCAGGCAGCAGACGGGACTCGAACCCGCACCCTTCGCAATCCGGGCGAATGCACTGACCAATTATGCTACCGCGACCCTCACGGACCGCGTCGAAATTCTTTCTAGCTATTCTTAAGCTGCAAGGCAGCGCCATCTCTTCGCATTATAGGTAAACCCACAATGTCAAATGAATACTTTTACAAGTATTAAACATTTGAAAGAAGAAATAGCAATTATAGTTATAATTTTTATTATTTTTAAAGCATGTAACTGCTTGATGTTTAAATCTAAAGAAAATATAACTAGAAAAAATTCCACGCGGACCAGGCAGCAGACGGGACTCGAACCCGCACCCTTCGCAATCCGGGCGAATGCACTGACCAATTATGCTACCGCGACCCTCACGGACCGCGTCGAAATTCTTTCTAGCTATTCTTAAGCTGCAAGGCAGCGCCATCTCTTCGCATTATAGGTAAACCCACAATGTCAAATGAATACTTTTACAAGTATTAAACATTTGAAAGAAGAAATAGCAATTATAGTTATAATTTTTATTATTTTTAAAGCATGTAACTGCTTGATGTTTAAATCTAAAGAAAATATAACTAGAAAAAAATCCACGCGGACCAGGCAGCAGACGGGACTCGAACCCGCACCCTTCGCAATCCGGGCGAATGCACTGACCAATTATGCTACCGCGACCCTCACGGACCGCGTCGAAATTCTTTCTAGCTATTCTTAAGCTGCAAGGCAGCGCCATCTCTTCGCATTATAGGTAAACCCACACGGTAGCATAATTGGTCAGCATTAGCGAAATCTTTAACAATGTCACTGACTTCAATTTTGATTTCATGTTCAATACTTATTGGTGTTAATTCTGGCATGATTGTCTAAACTTAAAGCTAAATATAACATCAGTCTCTCCTTTTCATTCTGTATAGATCAAGACAAGGATACACTATTGTCATATTTAAGTTTAGGTTTAGAGAATCATGCCAGAATCGACACCATTAACGATAAGTTCGTCAATATACTTTGCTGCTGATCTTAGATAGTTTTTAATTATTTTTAGTATAGAAAATGACCTTTCGCTGTGCGCTACCGTGACTGGAAGTATAAGGTAAATCCTGAGTGCTGTGGACAGATTTGGAAAAACTGAAATCAATTTATTCGTATACAAGTAATTTAAAATATCCAACGGCGTAGATCGTCAATAAACATGGGTAATAATTCGATTTCATTTAAGTGCTCGAACTTTTCCACATCTGAAGAGACAGCCAGCTTGGCAAAGTTTATTTTCTAAATTAGAACAATGTGCTTTTTTGTATCCGAGTCCAAATCCTTCCAGTGTATAAATTTCTGAAGAAATGAAAAAACTACATTATTTTGTTTGAGAAGTTCGAACCGTTCGTCGAACTTAGTAATTACGGTGTCTAATAAATAGTAGTAAAAATTGACTTTAAAATGTGTTTTCGCACCTGTGATCGATTCATCCTCCGCCTCATAATTAAAAACCCTTTTACGAGCGCGAGGGCGTGCAGGTATGGGAAATTCTGCTATTGCCTCGACTTCTTCCGCTACAGTTTTCGCGCTATTAAGGAAATCCGCATTTCAAAAGCGGAGTCATTACAGAATTCAGACAAAGTTATTTTTGCATTATTAATAATTTTCACCGCTTCTGACAATACAACGTCTGACTTTCGAAGTGCCTTGCTAACTATATTTATCTTGCTTAAAATTTAAAACCAAATAAGCAGAGAGCAAATGAATTTAAGCGACTTAATTTTTCCCAGTAATGAATTTGCTTTATTTCTTGACTCGCTCATCTTTGCTCCTATCGGAATATTACCATATATTCAAGGCATCATACACTTTTCCCAGTTCAAAACGTAGAGCTTTTACTGCTTCAACCCTGCTCTTTCATTTAAGAGTGGTTTTAAACTTAAAGTTGCCACTTCTTTAGCAAGTATTTGCCACCGTGCTGTTGACGCAGAAAAAAAACAAATTTCTTGCATAATTGAAAAGAAATTTACTATTTCTAATGAACTTTTAGCAGCGTCATTCATTACCAAATTTAGACATAAAATGCGTGCGGGTTCAAGGGCGTAGCCAGGATTTAGTTTAGGGGGGGGGGGGGGGGGGGGCATGCAAGTGAAACTAAAATGTTCGCTACAAAAATTAAATTTCATATAAACAGGAGCAATTTTCTCGGTTCTCCGCAGAACCATTTCAAGACTTCACCTGAAATTGCATGTAAACTTTCTTGTACCATCTTTCGCTGGACACTTAACATACAAAGGCCATTTATGTGTCCTATGTATGTTAAGAGATCAAGGTCGAGCATCGTCGACCTCAACCACGTTTTGACTACACCGCAGTGTAGAGAAGTACCTCTCTACATTGCTCGTGGTGCAAGGCAGTGCCAAAGAAATTAGTATAGGTTTTCTGGTTGGAGGAAAGAATGTTTCCGCCTTCTCTAACAACTCCGCAAAGTTCAGCTCTCTAAGATTTTCTCTTGGCATACCCTCATCATTCCATCGTTTATATCACAGTTCGGCTTTATTATCAAAGGATTCTAACCCATAGTATCTGCTGAAACTTTGTGGTTTCTGTTTGAATTCAGCCAATGAAATTTTCAACATCGCATCAGGATGCAGCATCAGCAATCCGAAGGCAGGCATATGTTATTCAAAGAAACGATGTTCCAGTGCGGATATAAGGTAATCCAAATACGGGATGAAGATCGATCGCTTCCAAAAATCGCATGGAGTCTCAGCAGAATGATTTTACTTATTTTTATAATGCTTCTAAACCTGTGTTCTAAACGGGTCATAGTTGCCCGGCAACGTGTGGCTACGACAGATGGCCCGGCAAAATTATATTTTTTTACACAGTAACATTATACCCTCGTAACGCCCAACTTCATTTAATACTAATCATGTCTTATAACCCAAGGTCCTTTTTTAAATCCTAAATTTTTATTGTCGTTCAGACCCAAACTTTGCCAAATATATTAAGATGCGTAGGGTTGCGCAATATAGATGAATCTTCTTTGGCAGCTTATTAGGATCCTAAAGGCCATTTTTGAACAACAAATAGGATCAAAATTCAATTCGCAAAAAAAGTACTTTGGGTATTAAAGATAATACACATGTGATTTTATTTAATATGTTTAAAGTACTTTGGGCGTTAAATGCAAACATAATTATGTTTCAGTACGTTGAAAAGGGTGTAGAGTCGAAGTAAGTAGCACACAAAAACCAGTTTTTGTAGTAAATGAAACTTTAATTAATTGATTAGAATTTACTCAGCAACATAAAACTAACAATCTTTCTTTCTATAGTAAAATAATTTCTTCACTAAAAAATTCAAAAAAAATCAATATCGTTTATTCAGTCTAGGCTGTTACAAGCACTTGTGAATGTCGAAAAGCTACGCCATCGGTTCGCAAATCTACGGCGCCGACGCACTATGTGGAGGTGCCTAAGAGAGCTTGGCCATAAATACATTTTGTAAAAATCGGCGCAGGTACTTGTATTATACCTCAAACTATAGCTAAGAAGTTGATCTACTATATTATGTATAAATTATGTATGTAACTAGTACTTTTTTATAGTAAAGAGCATCTAAATACGATGATTGAAAAATTATCACGAAAACATCATAATTTGTAATTTTTTCAGGATGATTTTCTAGTAAGCTAGCAATAAAAATTATACAAGTATTATACCATTTTAGAAAGCTTATAATATATACTTTTTTTTTAAAATACACAAATATGCTATATATTTATAAATATATTTACTAGAAATATTTATCTCATGACATATCATTTTTGCGTATCTGAAACTTTCAATTAGAGTTTTGACAGTTGCCGAAATTTGCCGAAGGTCTGTAAATGATGTTATTTGATAGGAAATTTAATATTTTTATACAGGAAGAAAAAATAAGTTACAACTACATTGCACAACATAATGCTATCTATCATAACATGAAATAGTAATAATTTCTTAAAAATACGTGGGCGAATCTATTTGTTTTATTAGTTGATATAGGTTACACTTGTGATATATTATTAATTGCGGTTTATGTTTTGATAATGTATCGAGTATTTCTCACCATTTTTAGTTCGCCTACAAAATAAATTATCAATAAAACACATAGGAAACCGAGTAACCACATAATGATAAATAGTTTTTATTCCCATACTTTGCATACGTTTCAAATCAGTTATTTAATATAAAATAGAGCATCTGCATACTGAATAATTGCATACTGTTTTTCGTTCGTTATTGTCGTTACTAAAAGTGTATCTAACCACCTACTCTCTCGCAATGAGTGAATTCCAATGTACCAGATGCGACCTATGTCTTGTTTTGATTGAAAGTGACGGGAATTATGTTGTTGCTTTAACAAGTTATATACGGAATAATTTTATCAACTTTTCTGAGGCAAATATCGCTAAAATTGTCGCGAGTGTACAAAAAAATCTTATTACGAACTTTCGTCAACGCTACACTAAATCTGGCAGAAATAAAGAATTTTTTTTAAATCAGAATAGCCTGTGGTTGAATGCCACATTCACAGTAAATCTGGAAGATCCTACTTGTGAATCTGAACCTTCGACATCGACGGGGAAGCGAGGACGCCCTTCCAAAACCTACGAAGACAGTTCCGATAGAACACAAAGACGAAAAAACAAGGAGTTGCTTGAAACATGTGGCCTTGATTTTATACTGAATTCATATCTTCAAGGATTGAGATCTCAAGGGGAAACGGAAGAAGCATTCATTGTCGAAATTTTACGAGTATTACACATAGATAAAAAAAGTGAAATACGTCAAAATCTTTTAAATGAACCGGCACATTTAACAGCGTACTCTAAAGATGAAGCTCTCAGTATTTTTATAGAGTTGGACCTTAACATGGCACAGTATGAAAACATGAGAAATTGCTTAATTGCGAAGAACTGCGTATTATTTCCGTCATATAAATCAATTCAGGAAGCTAAAGGAATGTGCTACCCACCAAGATCAAGCATAGAAATTAATAATATTACAGCAAAAATAAAACTGCAAGATCTGCTGGATCACACTATTGCAAGAATTTTGAAAATCAATGGTGTATACAAAGCTGGCAAAAAACATTTAATGCTGTATTCGAAATGGGGCTGTGATGGCTCAAGCGGACAAAGCGAATACAAGCAAGTCTTAACTGAAGAGGATGAGTTAATTTCTGACACAAATTTATTTATATCTTCATTAGTACCTCTGAAACTTGTTGATATTAATACAAATGAAACTTTGTGGGAAAACCCTGTTCCATCATCAGTAAGATTTTGTAGGCCCATTTTAATAGAATTTTCAAAAGAGACACCAGAGAAAACTACAAGTGTAGTTAATGAAATTATAACTCAAAGAAACGCTCTCACAACAAGCTTAATCAATAAAAATGGTGAAAGTATTGAAATCAAACACACATTATTTTTGACAATGGTTGACGGGAAAGTGGCTCAAGTTTTGTCAGAAACTTCATCAGGTGCTGTATGTACTATTTGTGGTGCAAGACCTACAGAGATGAACAATTTAGAAAAAGTACAAAATAAACCTGTTGACGAAAATTCTTATCAATATGGGCTTTCGACTTTACATTGCTGGATTAGATTCATGGAACTAATTATATATCTTATAATGTAGGCTTTGAAAAATGGTCTGCTACAACGACAGAAAATAAAGATTTGAAAAAACAAAAGAAGACATATGTACAAAGAAGGTTCAGAGAAGAACTTGGTTTAAATATAGATAAACCTAAGCAAGGTTCTGGTGACAGTAATGACGGTAATACAGCTAGACGATTTTTTCAAAATTATCAGTGCACTGCAGAAATTACCGGTGTGGATGAGGAATTGATAAAACGATTTTATGTTTTACTTCAAGTTATGTCTAGCGGAAAAGTAATTAATGCTACGAAATTTGGACAGTATGCTTTCGATACAGCACAACGATATGTTAGTAAATATATGTGGTATTATATGCCATCATGTGTCCATAAAGTCCTAATTCATGGGGAGAGTGTAATTCGGCATTATTCAGTGTTACCTCTTGGACAGCTCTCCGAAGATGCCCAGGAATCAAGGAACAAAGACTATAAACGATTCAGACTTCATCATGCTAGAAAATGCTCTAGAGTAGCTACAAATGAAGACGTTTTACATACACTTTTGTACACTTCAGACCCTTACATAACAAGTTTAAGAAAACCTTCCAATAAAAAGTCTATGGAACTTATAGATGAAGCTGTAGAGCTAGTAGAATAATATAATTCTATGTTATTTTCTCTTTCTTATTATATTTAATTAATAAGAGTAATTTTATGTGTTTATTTTGTATTAATTATAACATTTAGGTCACATTGTTTAAAATTAGTCGTAAATTTATGATAATTTTTCAATATTTCATGTTTTGTATTTTTTTACAATTATTAAATATATTTTTATATGCATAGACTGTATATTATTTTAAAGTACGTTTATCTCAGATTACTTAAAAAAAAAATCAGCTGTATGTCTATAAAAACATGGAAGTTATAGATTTATGACCCGAAACCGACTCGATCTCCACATAGTGCGACGGGAGACCTTGTACTGAGAAGAACCGGCAAGAAACTCAGCAAGGGCTGTTTTTTTCTCCCTGTATTATATAAAAGAAATAAAAATAGTAACCCATAATAAAAATAATGTCCACTTATGGTTATGAACAAATTTTGAATTTGATAAACCATTAAGTAAAATGAAAATAATAATTACTCTCTTTCCATAATCAGCTAATTAAAATAAAAATAATGCGAAAATTTAAAAAATATTTTGCTTAGTAACACACAGGTGTAACTGAATTGTGGAACTTTCTTTGCAATTCCTCGCCAGCGGCATCAAATGGATGCAACACGATATTAGAGTCATTTAGCAACTTGCAGATATCCTGATCTCTCAAAACTAAAAAAAAACAGGCAGTAACTGCGGTAGATATTGCAATATACAATAAGAAAAACCAAAAATATTTATATATGGCTTTTAAGTAGTTAACGCTCTAGGTCCTTTTTTTTGTATCAATTACTTTAGGTATTAAATATCGTTAATCTATTGGAGTAAATAATAAAAGAACGGTTTCAAACAATGAGTCATACAATTATTAATAAAATTGTAATAAATTATCGCTTTTAAATTAATAGATTATAGAAATATTTTACGATTAGTTACGTGGTCTCCGTTTGTGTGCCAAGTCGTCAAACTTTGTTAAATGACTTTGACAGTTGTTTTTTTAATCCACCTCAACTCCCGCCCATAGATAGCAGCCATCCAAATGCATGTATTTTTATGTTGGTTATACTCAGAGCGGCAAATTTAAATCCACAGTATCACCAAAACGATTTAATCGTTAAAAAAGGACCGTGGGCGTTTAGGAGTATGAGTATGTATGAATTGTTGGGCCTGCAGGCTATGTTTGTTTTAGTATTTTATTAAGGACCGCGGGCGTTACGAGGATACAGACTAGACTTTAAAAAAATCCTTATACCCATCATTTTACGTCCAAGAAATATTTAACGTACATACGAAATCACTTCACTGTTTACGAGTAGTCCTATCGAAATTACAGCTTTAGTAACGAGTCTATGAGAGTGATGTGCGATTCTATAATTTTTTAAAAAATTATATTTAGTTTTTGGATTATTTGTTATTTAATTTTTGGTACTGAAGCTCCTCTATATATGGGGGGGGGGGGGCATCTGCCCCCCCCTTCCCGTACCTGGCTACGCCCATGCGCGGGTTTATATCTAAAATTCGTTTCTGAAGACCTACATTTTTCCCTTTCATGTCTGCACCATTATCGTAACCTTGACCACGCATATCCTGTATGTCAATTTCGTATGAGATTAAAAAATAAAACAAAAATTGAGTTAAAACCAGGCTAGTAGTGTCTGTAATAGGAAAAAAATCCAAAAAGTGTTCTTTTACTTCAGTTCAGCCTTGTTGTTGCTTGCATTTAAAAGGACGTACCGTACGACAACTGATATATTTATATTTGTTCTTCGTGTGCAACATCTGGAGTGCAATCTAAAATAATTGAAAAATATTTGGATTGTTTCAATTCCACAACAATAGTTTATTTATTCCTGCATGAAACCACTTAAGTTTACTTCGATATCACTATCACCCGTTGTTTATTTTTGAAGTTATACTTCTTTAGGCGCGTTATGAAAAAATGATGAGAGTGAAATTTTAAGATGCGCGCGCATCACTATAACACAAAAATTAACAGCATGAAGTTCATGCTGTCACTTTTGTGTTTGCCGCACATTAAGAAAATCTACTAACAAAATAGAAATAGAATCTCTATTTAGTGGGTGCTAACGACTGCATTGTGAAGGCCTATCAAAAGTATTTATTAATCTGGAACAACGGAACCAAAGCGCGATTCAGGAGACTACAGCGCCATCTCTTGACCATTGGTGTAGTAGAACCACAAACCACATCTTTATTTTTTGTAATAAAGTAACAGTTATAGGTATTCATATTTATAATATCAAAAGTATTTATTAATCTGGAACAACGGAACCAAAGCGCGATTCAGGAGACTACAGCGCCATCTCTTGACCATTGGTGTAGTAGAACCAAAAACCACATCTTTATTTTTTGTAATAAAGTAACAGTTATAGGTATTCATATTTATAATATTTATCCACATGTTTCTAGTTTGTATATTCGGAATACGTGTTTGAGTTTCATACAAGTGCAAATCACATATGTTCTAATAAATTATATTCAGTAGCGATTTTAATTGAATATTTTGATTATTTATTTATTTTTTCATATTAACACTGAACTTTATTGACTGTGTCCTTTTCCAGACTTTTTATTAATTTATTGTAATTAATTATTTGCATGCAATTAAAAACTAATTTTAAACGATGCCAAAGAAGGATAACTTCTCACGCGCCTACATAAGTACACGCACCCATTTTTTTTTCGCTAGCTGTTTTTAATGACGTCTGATCCCGATGCATGTCGCAATAATTGTGTGAAAAATTAACCAAATCATATCGAATATATATTTTTTATCAAAAGAAAAGCCGACTTACTTCATATTTACATGTTTACTCAAAGATAATACTTAAGTCATTGAATCAAAGCTTATTTTGCAAAACTACGGAGTAGCGGTAAACGGTAAAACAAAATTTGCGGCACTCGTACAGAAAGCCCTTGAAAATTACCGCCACAGCGTCCTCTGCTCTTTGAATTTGAACTTTTAGTCATTCTAATACAGCCGAGATAGCAATGATGGTCGGCGTGTTATCAAACGAGTCAAAAGCAGGTGCCGGCACGCGCCTTAGGTAGTGATGCGACAGTACTCCAATACAATATTTAATTATCTGTTTTAAGGCTGATTTCACGTTGAAATAAAAGTAATTATGTAGAGTAGGTAAATACGCAACTTGTGGTGGCGCGCTTGCTTTACTACCGCGCGCCTGGCGCGGCGGCATCGGCCGTAAGGCGTTCCGCGAGCGACGACGTACGCATCTTCAGAGATGTCGTATTAGAGTAGAGGGCGCTCGGCGCCGGCGCTCCCGCCGACGCACCCGTGTGCACCGCACACCCTGCACTATAGGTAAAGCCGCCTCTGTGATCTATCAACGCACAGCCCAAATCACTGGACGGATCGGGCTGAAATTATGCATGTAGGTAGATGTTATGACGTAGGCATCCGCTAAGAAAGGATTTCGATCAATTCTACCCCCAAGGGGATAAAATAGGGAATGAAAGATTGTATGAAACTTTGTTAATTTTAAACCGATCGGACTTTGCATGCAGGTATAAGAAGAATTATAGATGAATGATAAAAAAAACTGGAAATGAATTGGATTTTCCAGCGTCAATTAGTTTATCCTTAAGGGAACAACTTCCCTTATGGATAAACTAATTTACAACTTATGTTTTTGTGGCAGATAGTGCATTCGCGCTCACTGAAAACATGTTAAAGCCTTATCCTGGTATTCACGCTAAGGGAACAAAATAAAAAAAATTTAATTATCGTTTATTCCGTGCTCGAAGGATAGTAGAGAATGTTTTTGGCATTTTGTCGGCTGTTTTTAGAGTACTAAAGAAACCGTTTCTATTAGAGCCAAAATAGTAACCAATATTGTAATGACATGTAGTTTATTGCACATTTTTTTAAGGCGATGCAAACAATCACGAGCAAGGTACAATCCACCCGGTACTTTTGATACTGAAATTGAAGGCGAAGTGCGTCCAGGCTCGTGGCGAAATGATCCTGTGATAAATACTTCCCTTTTATCAATAACGAATATACCAATAAGATCATCTCTTTCAGCTAATATAATAAGAAATAAATTTGCAGAATATTTTGTTACAGATAGCGCTATATCATGGAAAAATAAGTGTTCTTAAGGCCGGGCGTTGATGCAGCTACCTGAACGAATTCTTTGTTCCAGCTTAATGGATATATTTGCTTTAAAAAAATTAAGTCATGCTAACATTTTTAAAAAAATGACAAACTTAGTGTAAGTAGGTAGGTATTTTTTCAGAGATATTAGACTAAATTTCAGTGTCCCATACAAATGAAATGAAAGCAAAACGACGAGCTTGCCTTACAGCCTACCAAACACTAAAAGAAATTCGACACGGTTATTAAAGTCTAGATACCCTAGGTCTATACCTAGGGTATCTGATGAGAGCCCTATGGCTGCCATCACTAAAATTGTGGCAACTAGGACAAGACGCGTGATAACCCCTTATTTTGGAGCCCAAAACCCGGACCAATAAAAAAGCAGTTACAAATGTCACAAATAATAATAATAAATATTTCCAACACTCACACCAATTAGCCTAGCCAAAGTAAGCACTGTAAGGCTTGTGTTATGGGATGCTAGGGAAACGGATAGAATACATATACTGTACATATAAACGTATATTTATATATACATATTAAACATCCACGACTAGAGTACAAATGCTCATATTCATCACACAAACATCTGCCCCCACCGGGATGTTCGTTCCAGATCTTGCTGGTACGCAAAAGAAAGGAACACATTGTGCTCGAACGCCAGGCGTCCAGATGGTGGGCGTGAAACTTCTCTGCGGTGTGTGATGCTGTGAAGAAGCTTGGCCACTGGCATCCGGTTGAATAATTCCTCGGAACACTCCCCATCAGCTCAGCTTTCCATTAGTTGTGGTTGAGTAGCGAGCTAAGATTTTTGTCACGGAAAGTATTAATTATTAGGAACACACACGAAATCTTTTTATTCGGAAACGAATAGAACTCGAGAAAAAAAAAATTGAAAATTAATATTTTTGTAGGTTAAAGTCAATTTTGACAGCAATTTTGATCAGTGCTGCCATTTTTTCATGCAGAAATAACATGTTTCTCGTTGTCTATGGTAAAAAATATGTTGATTATGTTGGTACTATTGTCAAAATGACATGTCCCGCCGTTTTGTGTTTGTTTTGAGAAATGTCAGTCAGTCTGTGTTCGTCGGTAAAAAGTATATTTGCTATTATTTACTTGGTAAATAAGAAATAGTATGGGCTCCACACTTAGAAAAAAAGGTAAATGTGGCTTTACAACAATCTTTAATTCAGAACCGACTTGGTCAACCCCGACACGCCGTGGTCTTGGTCTGCCCTACCCCTAGAGTGTTTTTAGAGCCCGGAGGCGCGTAGGGAGAGCAGCCCCCGCCTGCTGTGACAAAGCCGCAAGCATCGTGCGACCCGTAGCGCCTGAGGCAACAAGCCGAAGGCGTGAAGGAGAGTGATGCTTGTTACTTTGTCACGCAAAGGCGCCGGGGCTGCTATTTCCGCAGCGCCGGAGATAAGGCAGAACTACTGGTACTTACTTCCCTAGTCCTTGCATCCTAGAAAAATTATGAATTTTTAGGTTAGATTAATTTAAAAAAAACATGCATTTCCGACTCAAATCTTTAGTAGGGGGGGAGTCGCGGAGACCCCCTCCTCCCCCCCACATCAAAACTACCCCGAAATTCCACCACAACTAATGGAATTTAGTACCGGTACTTACTATATCTATGAGCACCCAAGCTTTTTCACAAACAAATGTGTCTTTGCTGGGTTAATCCAATCAAAGGACTATGGGCAAAAATGTATGGGCTCCGTCCCCACCCACCAACAAACATGGAACTGATACCAATGTATTTCTAAAGTGCTCCCTATTTGATTAAAATAATTTATTTTAGATAAATCACTGGGAATATTTAAAAAAAAAATCAATTTGTAATTATTACTTAATTAACATATATGTTTATTTCACATTTGTAAGTTATTTTAATATTATGGTTATATTACAGTACAAAATATGATTGAGTTATTAAACAAAATATACAAAACATATTTGAAATGGTAGTTATCTATTATACGTATAGTGGTGTCGATTCTGACAGGATTCTCTAAACTTAAAACTAAATTTAACATTAGCCTGTCCTTCTCATTCCGTATAGAGAATGACAGGGATTCACTATTGTCAAATTTAAGTTTAGCTTTAGAGAATCATACCAGAATCGACACCAGTATATGTATATAATTGATACAAATGATTTATATTCTTATAACACTCATAGTAGGCCAATAAAAATAGTGCATGCTATTGGACACTATTATCGTGCCTTTTTTACTCACTTATGTTTATTATTCTAGCTGTGTACCGATTACCAACCCGCCTGCCCAACGTGGTGATTACGGGCAATATCTTTAATGCACACAGACTACAAACCACGGCCCCCAGTTCCCGGCAGCCCTGTTATTCCTGGTCACGGTGGCGACCATGGTAACGGCGGGGCGGGGTGTGCCAAGAATCTCCGGGCTACGGGAGGCCACCACAATAGACTGGCCCTGGCGACGTACAACGCACGCACGCTACGGCTTGACTCGCATCTGGCGCAACTCGAGGTGGAACTTGGGAAGATTAGGTGGCACGTGTTAGAGTTAGTGAAGTCCGAAGAGGATAAAGGCGACGAGGAAGAAGAGGGGGAGGACACCATAACCCTCGAATCGGGCCACCTAATGTACTTCCGCGGGGGAGACCAACAGTCCCAAGGTGGCGTCGGGTTTTTGGTAAATAAATCCCTTGCCGATAACGTTGTAGAAATGTATATAATTGATCCAGTCATGTCGAACAGGGTAGTGTACCTTATTATAAAGCTCACCGAGAGGTATAGCCTCAAGATGGTGCAAGTGTACGCACCGACATCGACACACTCGGACGACGAGGTGGAGAATATGTTCGATGATATATCGAGAGCCCTCCACTCCACTACTAAGACCTACTACAACGTTGTTATGTTATAAGTAGGATTCCATTGATTTGGAAGCAGAAATCATAGGGGGCAAATGCTCGTCAACTTCCTCAAACAGAAAGGGCTCTTCTTGATGAACTCTTTCTTCAAGAAACAGCCCGAAAGGAAGTGGACGTGGCAAAGCCCCGATACTATGACTAAAAATGAGATCGATTTCATCGTGACGAACAAGAGGTTCATATTCAGCGACGTCTCCGTGATCAACAGGTTCAATACCGGTAGTGATCACTGACTCGTCCGGGGCTCTCTGAATATCAACTTTAAGGCCGAGCGCGTCCGTTTGATGAAATCCAGGCTCCAACCTACTCTGCTCCAATCTATAACATGATCTGAAACGTTCCAGTTAAATCTGGAGAACCGATATGCTGCCGTGGAAACCACATCAGACGTAAACTAAAACCTCGAAAATATGGTTCGGATCCTCAGGGAAGAGGGTACGAGATTATGTGCAACGCAGCATAAGGGTAGGAAGTCAAAGCTTTCGGAAGAGACTTAAAGTAAACACCGAAAACACAAAAAGAAATAACACGTTAACGTACATCGTACAATGCAGCGAACTGACTGTGACTAAGGTTAGGACGCCTGCGCAGGAGCATGGGGCGGGGAGCGGGGGGATGGGGTTATTTTGTAACCTGTTATCTTTATGATCATGCACAGCCCGCCGCTGTACACTAATGAAAAGAAAAATGAGTAGGTATTTTGGAATTAGTCGTCAATAATACGTTAATGAGATATTTATTTAAACGTAAGATACCATGAGAACCCCATGCATTTGGGCAACGTCGCCATAGTAAAAAACTATCATCTTGCTAAGATCTATCAATTGAGCTACATTTCATTTGTGTTGATGGGTGGGGACTATTCCGCCCATAGTCCTTTTGTTGGAAAAATTCCAATTTGAGACTTGATCCAGTAACATCTCAATCTCGGACACAAGTCTGTCTTTACACCCTTCTACTTCCATCCAAGGGATATTTGACCGACCAGTGTAAAAATTATCGAATTCGAATAGTTTGCGAGTCCGAAATGTCATTGTCAAATTTTGTATGAAAACTTGATCAGCAGCACCATAACGGAGGTAACTAGAACTAAGAATCAGTACACATTTGACAATGACATTTCGTGTTCGCAAACGATACAAATTCGATATTGGTTCGTGCTAGGGGTACTGATCTTTGTAAGAAGTCAGCATTTATGGTAACAGTGTTAGAATAGATTTATTTATTTTCAAAGACATATTAACGGATCAATTGGCGATCAAAAACAGATAAATTATAAACCCGGACTACAAATATAACCCCGCCCGGACGCTCCCTGGACGCCCTGTAAACTAGGACAAATCCGGGGAAACCCGGACGGATGGCAGCCCTACCTAGGTAGCATAATTGGCAAGTGTGTCTGGCTAAAAAGTGGAAGGTGCAGGTTAAATCCTGGCTAATGCTTAGACCACATGAATTTTTTTCTAGTAAAATATTCTAGATTCTAGACAAAGTTTAATAAATAAGACTAAAATATTCTAATTTTTTAAACTCTGTCATACCCACTTATTGTGAATTAGTGATTATTAACCTCAGGGGTTTCTATGCATGAAAAACATTTTTTAGTTTTAATTTAAAATTGTTTATTAATTGCTAATTAATGTGAACTTTTTAACTGTTTAATGCACCTTGCTTTTGTTTATAAGGCTTTTTGGATTTATAGGAAGAATTTTGTTTGGAACCTTTATTGTGCAGTTCTTGCCAAAACTTCTTTCCTTGAAGAGTTTGATATCTGCAAGTAGATCACATACAACCATTGTTAGTTACTGTAAGTTATTTTCAAGTATTCAATAGTTATCATGCTGAAGAAAAAAAAGTTCAGCCATGGCCAAAAATATAATTATAAAGACAGTAAGTACAGTGAAGTGCTTGGATTTGGGGCCCATTCTCTCTAAATGTAGTTTTAAAAACTCCAGATCAATACAGAGTTGAAATAGCATAAATACAAATCTTTTTGATTTTCTTTTATGCATATAAACTTCCTAAGGACATCATTTTCTTTTTATTATTTTTTGTAATGAATATTATGTAAGTGACACACAAGGTAATTTTATTGAGAATCCAAGAGAATGTTATTCCCTTTGTTGAAAATTATTTTCTCTTAGCAATAGTAAATAAATATAACAACAAATAATAGTGAGTAAGGGAAATGGTAAGTCGAATGATAGGCACATAATCGGAAATGTCAGTTTCCTTCTCGGTTGGAATGTTTGGAGGCATTTCCCAAATCAAAGAATGGCATTAAACTTCAAGATAAAAGAAACATTGTACTTGCATATATTTGATTGAAAGATAATATGATAATAATTTAACTACAATATACAGACAGCCGCAGGTCAAGTTTCACAAAACTGTTATATTTCTCCAACTCACTTTGAGCTTTATATCAATTGATACAACATTCACAATCCATTTAGAAAATTTTACAGTTTGTGGTAACTTGACATGTTTAGTATTTAGACAACCAAACCACTACAAATAAAAATATACAAACCCCAGTTGTTTAGTGTCTGATATCATGTGAATTGAAAGTAGAATGTGTATAACTGGAATTTGCCTTTTTACAACAATAGTTTCAAGTCCATCTATCTTAGGCTCCCAATATTCTTCTACCCTGTGAAGAGATAGATTGTGACAGTAAATTGGTTTTAAATATTGGTATTACCAAGGAAATTCGATGTAGAAAAATGTACTCAATGCTACCTTTTATGTGTTAGCGTTGTAACTTGGTGTTGGATGGAAAATTGTCTCTTTAGAATTTCAGCACATGAAATAGCTTTTGGTATGGCTACTCCTGCTCCAGACCAAACTACAGCGGACGCAGATTTGTCTTCCAAAATTCCACTAGCATGCGAAATTAAATTGTTCATTTTACTTCCACCTTTCACCTAAAAATGGATTTTAAAATAATTTTTAAGCAGGTAGTAGTACGTAGGCAACATAATATTAGTGAAAGCAATTTCTAACCTGCATCCATAAAAAATTTTCAGGCAAATCCTTGAACGGTATTTTTTCTCGTTCTAATTCCTCTTCTATATTTTTACCTTTGAAATAATTTTCCATTTTTTCTACTTAAAAATCCGCTGTCGTTTATTTACAAAACAACAGTATAAAATGTACAAATAATCATTTTTTTAAAATTCTCCCTTTTAGGGAAGGCAAAGGGAACAATGCCCATACAGCCTAGTCTTTAGTTATATTAATCTTCTTTTTTTTCATTAGAATTTCGGTGTGACTTATACTAATATTTCTTGGAGTATTTGGCACGAAATGTATCGAGTTTTCTCTTTCGGTAAGCTTCTGTGAGGTAGTCAACACTGCAATAAACTTCTCACGTCCGCTTGACCACAACTATTATTATTATTATTAGTAGCAACTAGAAGCAACTAGGTAGCAACTTTCTATAATTAAATTATTTCGATGTAAAATATGGGTAGTGACCGGCCATTCTGACGCTCACCCGGAATTGCGTGTATTTTAACGATTCCACTAATTCTTCAGTTGCGCAGACGGTTGTAACACAAAGTCACACTAATTATATTTCACAATATCCACTATGAACGAATTTAAGAATAATTAAAATAAGACGCCAAACGCACTCAATGTAATCCCGCCAAAAACTCCTAATATATTTTTTAAATATCTTTACCCATTCTGGTAAGGCAAAGGGGACTTTGCCCACACAGCCAATTCTTAAGTTTATTATTCTGTTGTTTCTTGAGGCCGGAGGCAAGTCTTATTTTATTCCACCAACCACACCCCCTACATGTATCTTGTCTTCCCTTTAGTCTTCGTTCTGGATGAAAAGAAGAAAGAAGTAGAAGTAACTTCTTTATTCTTTCTTAATGTTATTTTCTAAGTAGTAGTCTTCTTTTGTGTTTTTAGTAAAGCCGAAGCCGCGTCGTTTGTTAACAAATCATTGGTATTGGTAGAAATGTCAAGAATATTTTCATGCCAGTAATATTTTCAAGTCATATCTTTGGTAATATCATGTAGAGATGGATCGGATTAGGTAAAATCGGTACCTGCTCCACCTAATCCTAATACTTAAAAATACTTTATCCAAATAAATACCTTTTCCGAATTTTTATGCAGTATCCCCTATACTTACAGGTCGGGGCACGTAACACGTAACTCTAGCGCTGAACAAAACGCGGAGGGGATAACTGCGCTTGGGTACGACTGGAGAGCCAATCGGCGCAACACATGCCCACCCGGGCACCTCGTTTCCCCCCAAGACATCTTAATTTTCATTTCTGCACAATATCGGTCGTTGGTATAGTTTCGTGCCGCGACTTATACGACGATATGATATTGTGTGTATTCAATGTGGATTAAGTATGAATTGGATTTGGAGTGTATTGGATATCTTCTCTAAGAGATCTGAGAGATGAAAATAACATGTAATCCCTGTTTTTTTTCTATACTAGGTAAATAAAATAATAAAAAATATAAATATAATGTTTTAATATTTATTTATTAGCCAAGCCCACAGCATACACACACAAAAAACAAATACAAAATACACAAAATGTGCACACTTATAATAGGCATGTACAACATTTATAATTATCGTAATCATCATCAACAATTACAATCATAGTTATAGAACAAATTTATAAATAAAATTAAAAGAATACAGTGAATAAATAAATTATGAAATCAGTCAAGCAAAATCAAATTTAGCCAAAATAAACAATGGGTACATTAAAAATTAATTTATTTGGCAAGTGATTTCGACACTCCAGATCTACAGTTTGTCTATAAAGTCGTGACATTAAATAATCTTATAGTATATAAAAAGTTTATTTAGGGAAACAATTTGTAAATGTGCAGTTAGTAAAACTAGTGATAGGTATCTTCACTAAAAGCATCTGGCCATGGTTCTTTATGTGACCATTTCTTTCTTTGGTCGGCCTTGCCTGTTTTCCCAGGAGTTTCTTTCCATCATTCTTAAAACCTTCGTTGACTATCCGACTCTCTGATTTTCCTGAAAAAAAGTAAAAAATATGTAACGGAATAGAAACAATAACTTATTGACATGAAGCAATTAATTCAAAATTGGTAGAAAACCTGACCGAGTTGAACCATAATAACGTATCAAAAGAAATGGTCGTACTACAATATTATCTATTTACAATGTCAATCTAACCTAAAAATGTGCAATGTAAACAATGCCTTTTTTGGTCTCAAAATCGTAAATTGAGTAAATTTGTAACTTCAGGCAGATTACAAACAAATAGTTACACGATTACCTACCCGTCATAGATGCTGTTCGCCCATAAACATCATTAAAATCCCACAAAATTCATCCAGTTTGGTTGTCTTCGAAACATCGCTGAAAAACTTTAAAAATCACTTCCCGCGTGCCACTCCGATTTACTTTACTCATTTTTATACCTTTCTGCGTAGTTTCGTCTTAATTTATTACAGTTTAATCCAAACAATAAAAAATACAAAAGGAAAACTGTTCCACAACTGAAACTCGATGACAGCTGATGTACATAAGTTTGGTGTTGCCAGACACATGAATAATGTTAGTTCCTCAACCAGTGTTGCCAACTCGGATTTTGAAAAAGGCGTAGGCCCGATGAGAAAATTACGTAGAATTGGTAAATTTTGCATATGATAAGTACGTAGATCTACGTATTTTTTTCTGAGTGAAATGAAGAAGTTAAGTGAATCCGAATAAGACGAGTATTTTGTTATACAGTTTCTTTAAAAATGGGAGATAGAACAAAGAGTTCTTGGAGAAGTCGCTGCATTGGAAGCATTTACCATGCTGTGGTAGACATTTACCATCAGACACAGACACTGGTGGGTGTCGATTCTGGCATGATTCTCTAAATTTAAAACTTAATTTAAAATCAGTCTCTCCCTTTCATTCTATATAGAGAATGACAAGAATACACTGTTGTTAAATAGGCTTTTTGGAATTATGTTTTAAATTGTTAATAATTGTTCTATCAGACCGAAAAAAAAAATTTTACCTACAAGACATACAAAAACGCTATTTAGTTTTAGACTTATCTATGGTATGACGTCAAAACATTTGTAAACAAACACTTGCAAGCACGTGGGAAATAAACTTTCTGAGTTAATATTTTAAAACCATGATTTCTAATAGATCACATGAAAAATATAGTAGTTATCATGATACAAGAGAAATAAACATACTTACACATGAACGCATGTTTAAAACTTGCTAAATCCTGTAACTTTATCGACTGAAAGTCATTTCTTTTTGCAAAGATCAATTCGATGTAAATACTCATTAAATAATATTTAAAGTTTAAAAATACAATTTTTAAGGTTATGAATGTACCTACCAAGTCAAAGAGTTTTGTCGTTTCTGCTTTCACAAATCCTGCGTCTAGCATTAATTTAGTCAAAAATACTAATAACGGGAACCTTTTCTACAAGAGTTTTTAGATACATCTTTATAAGAAATAAACATTTATTTTAAATTGTATAGTTTTTAAGTAAAGTAAAGGAAAATATTCTTCTTTATTCTAATGAATTAAGTTATTGTACAAATTTGAAAAAAATAAAGAAAATACGTAGATTCTGGGACTGAAGTTAGTAGGTTTGCAGTAAAGGCCTAAAATACGAAGATCTACGTAAAAAGACGTAGAGTTGGCAACACTGTCCTCAACATTCATGTCACGACTTTATAGACAAACTGTAAAAGAGCTTAAGGTGTCGTGTTGTGGTTGCCCGAAACACCATTTTGCATGTTGTACTCGTTACACATTCTAACTATTGGAGGGGACAGACCAATATTAGTGCGACAGCGTGTGGAGTGTAAAATTGTTCATTGAATGTGATAGGAAATCACGGGACAGTGTGTAACACATTAAGAACAATGCGTGATAAAAGATCTTCGCACCTTAGACCGTTTTTACAACTTTATATAAGAATGTCATATCCTGTCTCGCAGGGTATTCATTTTGAAAAAAATCAAACGTTGCTCGTAACAACATCTATGAGAAATGCCTGGAGAAAATAATGCCAAGTGTCTTGTAAAACAACGTTTTCACGGTAATATTATCCATACTGTATTGAAACTCAGCCCTGTCCTTGAAATAAATGCCTACGGCCGAGCGCTGCGTTAACACGCGGTAGGGCCGCCCGCCTACAGTATTTTAATTTCATCTACATAATTGAGTTTCTTTCTAGTTTTGTGATTGTAAATGTTTTATTTTATATGTAAAGATTCTCCGCAAGCCCATATACCCATATTGTAGGAATGCATTAAAAATAATTATTCCGCCATGTTGGATTTAGAATGACGTCACACAGCTAACCGTGCTTTTTAATCAAAACGTGTATATACAGCTCAACCAGTTGAAGATATCTGCTTCAAAATTGAGTTTCAAGATTACACCCGAATAAACACAAACAAAGTTATATACCTACCTATATGCAAGTTAATCAAAAGCTTGTAAAAAACCCGACTGCTGATTTTTGAAGTGAAACTTCTTTATCGGCGTTGGAAAAAAATTTACCGTCACATTTTTCGGTTACGCGTCACATTTTTCCGTTACGCGCCATCTTTTTTTATATTAATAGTTGATAGCTGAATGATCACACTGCCGCCGGCGAGAACTCTCTCTACTCGTTTGTAGCTGAGTGACAATAGTTATTAAAGATAAGACTCGCTCAGCCAAACTCGCATAGCGATACTCGCTCAGCGGTACTCGCTCAGCGATACTCGCTCAGCGATACTCGCTCAGCGATACTCGCTCAGCGGTACTCGCTCAGCGATACTCGCTCAGCGATACTCGCTCAGCGATACTCGCTCAGCGATACTCGCTCAGCGATACTCGCTCAGCGATACTCGCTCAGCGATTCTCGCTCAGCGATACTAGCTCAGCGATACTCGCTCAGCTATACTCGCTCGGTTAAGCTGGCTTGGTTGTCAAAAGCCGTGCGCGTGCATTTTAACTCAGGACTGCCAATTCGTTTCTAGTTTCTACTCGCTTATCGTTCATCGTCGGAGGTGGAACATGTGCCTTAGATTACTGAGCCGTGTAATCATAACAGTTTCATAGGCAGTAATTTGTATTCATGTCTATGATAATAAAATCCTTTTGTTTAAACTTTATCTAATTTAACTTTATTTAACCAATTTCTGGAAAGTTGCATGTAGATCATTTTTCGAAAAATAAGGCCATAAAGAAGTTTCACTTCTTACGTGTGTACACTAGTACACGCACACATTTTTTTTATTCTTACATAATTCAATAAAAGAATATTATTTAAAATATACAAGTTATATTTATTTGTAAGTCATGGCGCAGTCGGGTAAGGAAATTACCTACAATGTAAGTAAATCTTACTAGGTAGGTACTGTAGGGACCGTTTCATGCAAACTAATTATTGTCATTGAAACACACACACACCCACAATAAACAGTTTTTTAAGCTCCGCACAAATCTCTCTATTTTTTATTTTCCAGCTATAAATTCCTGTCAACAATCAGTCTCTTTTCCAAATTACCTAATAACCTGCCAGTATACACCAAAAAGATCCGATCACTACAATACCTACCATTTAATACTCTCGTTTATTATTTCGATCTCGTTTATATTACTTTCATAATAATATTTCAT